GCAACGAGGGAAGTTGATGTTAGGGTTATTCCCTCCTCCTTCCTCCTGTTACGCCAGAAGAATTCATGCACGCGGAAATGTCCCTCTACGAGCTGCTTATACCTGTGTTTGCAAATTTGAGGGACGTCCGCTTTGTTTTTGTTCCTCCCGTTTCGTGAACCGCGCCATGTACCTGTCGTGTACAAATGCGTGATTGTTTCGTGTAATTTGATGTCTCCTTACGCGGCTTGTATGTGCATAAATTTGTATATACATAAGTGTACGCTCCTACATGTGTGGGGAAGATATGACCCCTTTGAGGATCATTCTGCGTAACACATTCACGTTGTGCATTCCCCTCCACATGACTGTGCTGAGCCGTCCGCGGGCCTGCACTGGGGTGATGTATTCTATGTTGGTGCGTTCATCCCTTGGAATGCATTTTTCCGCTGCATTTTTTTGTTCCGTTTTTTCGTTTCATTGTTCGCTCCATTTTGCGTGCCACCGTGTACCCCCATTCTACACGTGCCGCCGCCCACATACGGCGGAATTGCTATTATTAAGGAGAGAATTAGCAGTTCATTGCAAATTTACAAGTGATAAAAGCAAAAGAGAGGAGCTTTCCTTTCGACTGGAAAGTACTTTCGATTATTTTGACAATCTTGCGAGCCCTTCCTTTGTCGGAATATTTGTAGTTGTCCGCATGTATGCCATTTGTGAAGAGTGTGGTACCCCCCCTTCTTGCTGCGGGCTTGTCCATTTGGTGTCTGCTTTTTTGGGGGCGACAACATATTTGGCCTCCTACCGTCTACTAAGCGCGCACCTGTTGTGTCATTAGTTTGCGAAACTCCCACAAGAGGAGTACCTAGTGGCAGGCGCTACGATGAGAAAAGGTAGGTAAGCGCCGTATATGACATACATGTGGATGAGTACTAAAATTTTCAAGAAGAAAGGAGGCAAGATTGTCGAAAAATGGGAAATAAAAGGGAGGAAGGAAAAGGGAAAAAAAGGGAGAAAAAAAAAAAGAAAGAAAAAAGAAATGGTAACAAAGAATATGTTATTTCTTTATTTTTATTTTTTTTTTTTTTGTTTCTCCGTTTTTCCCCTTTTCCCCCTCCTCTTTTTATGCGAAGTCCTATCACTTTAAATTTGCAATGAGGTTAGTTATCATATTCTTGCTGGGCCCTTATTTAACTGTAAATAGAGGTGAAGCAAAAATATGATCCTTATGATGCAATTGCGCACGTGTGTGGTATGCATTATGTGCGTGACGACGCGCGTACCAGTTTAGGCGCCCAGGTGTAGGCGTGTCCCCGCAAGTGGGTTTCAATGCGTATTTGAGTGCCTATTTGAGTGAGGCTTTGCCCCTGCGCTCGTTTATACACTCGCACAAATTGTACACTTATCTGCATGTATGTACATGCCCCTGTATGTCTACGCCTACACACACATCCAACATTTGTACCTCGCTATCTTCGCGTATTTATCCGACCCCCTTATGTTCTAATCCTCGCGCCTCTTTCCCCCATTTTAGGAACATGAAAAGATAGCAAACCTGAAGTTGCTGCTTCAGAGAATATTCCGAGACAACGACAGAATCATCGTCTTTGTGGAAACGAAGAAAAATGCAGATTTCATCACCAAGGCCCTGAGGCTAGACGGTGTGCCTGCCTTATGTATACATGGAGATAAGAAACAGGATGAGAGAAGGTGGGTTCTGAATGATTTCAAAACAGGAAAGAGTCCCATTCTGATTGCAACGGATGTAGCTTCTAGAGGACTAGATATAAAGGATGTAAAATATGTTGTTAATTTTGATTTCCCTAATCAAATTGAAGATTATGTACACCGAATTGGAAGAACAGGTCGAGCAGGAGCCCACGGAGCTTCCTTCACTTTTTTAACATCCGATAAGTATAGACTAGCTAGAGATCTAGTTAAAATACTAAGAGAATCGGAACAACCCGTACCTCCACAGCTGGAGAAAATATCCTACACAGCCGTTAACACCCCAAGGAGAAATCCCTACTACGGATATGGTCGTTCATCACACAATGTAAATAACATTCCACTAAAGGGAAGCAACAGATATTACTAAATTTTTTTTTTTCCTTCCGCCCTGTGCAAAATGGTTAATATTTATTCTTTAAGAAAAAAAAAAAAGATAGGAAGTTTTATTAAAAAATTTACCATTGTTAAAGCGGTGTGAAATTTGCTCTGCTGTGGTTATAGCATTGTTCCCATGTGGATGTGTGCACAATATGTGTGCACATAGCGCTTATATATGTCCACATATATGTGCATCGCCATGTAGCCTATTTTTTATGGGCCTGTGGCAGCTGCAACATTTAAAATATGGCATGCGAAGGCTTATATATAAGTAATTGCACATCAAGAAACGCGCTAGCTTCTTGCATCATCTGTAGTTCACCTTTCATATACGTTTCGATAATAATACATTTTTAAAACACTGTAAATTAGCGAAATGAGCCAACAGGTTGGAAGTTTTTTTTTTTTTTTTTTTTGGAATCCTTTTAAAACGTACCACTTTATGTGTTATGTGTCTATTGCATGACTGGGCAAAATTGCATATGGGCTTCCCTGCATGGATGAACAAACGAATAAAAATTCCTATACACATTTGCATGCGTATACGCACAAGCATTGCACACGTTTGCACGTGTATAATTTGTACGTGTTCACGCGTGTATGCTTATGTAGTTGCATGTGCCACTAGGAAGTACGCGCAGCAACAGACAAAATTTGTTATTCTTCACTTTGCATCGCATTGCGTCGCACCGTACCCCAGTGGCATTTATTATGCCCACCTAATGCAACTCGCGAGGAAATTGTCCACATCTTTTTTAAGGAAACACTGCGGAATTTTGTCGGCAAGAAGGTGTCCAAGTGGATGCCCTTCACTAATTGATGCCTGTCTATTTGGACAGTAGAGAAATCGTAACAATCATGCTCCTATAGTTGCTATGGCTGTTATGCTGGGATGGAAGAGGAAGAACACTGAGGCACGCAGGGGGAAACAAGAAAGACCCGCACAAAAAGAGTTCTCCTGGGATATGCGAACAGAGTAGAACTGGAACCGTTCGGATAAGTCAAATGGAAAACTGAGTGGGGTAATTGAAGTGTTTCCATTTTTATCACACAAAACTAAGACAGCCCATATGTCCCTTATTTTAATACCACACTGCATTTCGTATGTGCGACATTGGAATGGTGTACTACATATTGTGATGTTTTTTTTTTTTTTTTTCGCTTATACAAATGAGTAACATCCCTTTGCGTTTACTTGCTTCTTATCGTAAAGGGAGGTGTAATGCTTTTCTTATCCTTATGAGTATTTTTTTTTCTCCCATTTTTAGCCCTAAGCTGCGTCAGCGCGAAGGGCGCAGAATCTCAATTCCTACCCCACTTTTGGCTAGCTACTTTGGAAAAGAGGCTCCGCTTAAAAAAAATCACAATATTGAGGAAAAACGCAGTTTTAAGGAAAAACACAATTTTAAAGGAAAAAATTCATCATAATAGATACTTACAAGGTGGAATGTTCTTAATGCATATACTTCTTAAAATAAAGAGATTGCTTTTTTTTCTTCTTCCCATTTTGGCGAAAAAAAGAGCTAGATGATTTACCAAATGCAAGAGGTACACTTTCAGTATTGAAAAACTTACATAGTGGCTGCGAATCCAAAGATATAAGCGTTTGGGGTATGTACTTACTACATAACGTATCAATCTTTCGCCTTTTACTAAAGATTGCCGTGTAGTAGGTACACTAAATGCGTATACCACAAATTTTTGTCGGGCCTTTCAGGCGCGTAACAATTATAACTAATCAACTTTTTACATCTCCTTTTTACTGACCTTATTGTGTCATTATATAATTTAGCTGTCGGGGGGCTCAATTCATTTGGGGTCAAATTTTTGCTAAAGTGCTCACTTTTTTTAATGCTCATGTATTTTTATCTTAACAATTTCTTTAGGGGTGTAGTTACAGGCGTTTTCTATTTTACTAATTATACGAATATAAGTCAATTTTACAGCTTTGGAGCTTCACTATATAAAATATATATCCCTATTATATAATTGGTTAAAAATATAAATTACAGTTGAACTCATATCATTCCTATTTTTTTTTCTTTATCAAAGGGTGTTTTTTCCCTCTGCTCTTTTAGTCGCCAACATCCCTTCGCTGATAATGAATACAAGGCTAAACTGAACTAATTGGGGCACATTACAATAGGGAATAATTTTTTACAAATGTACGTTATGTACTTTTTTCAACCTATTATTATTGTACCATATGAGAAGCCTCCTAGATACGCTTATTTTGCCTTCTTTTTACATGGCACCTCTCTTTTAATACGTTCAGTATCATAATGTAATAACAACCAACCCATCGATCCCGCCCACGCCTGCTTCTAAGCCGGCACAAAAAGTCATCACAAAATGTACATATGTGAATCAGTGCGTTTATGTTTTAGTACTAAGTCCGATACAGAGGAGTAAGGGCCTCATAAATTCACACCAACCCCAGTGTAGTAAATTTTTCTACCACTGAAGGGTTAAGCGATTAGGTTCTACTTATGCGCCATCGCAAAGGACACCTGAACTTTCTTTACCGTGCACATATTGCGGTGAGCCATTTGGAATTGGCACGTTTAAAATTACACATGTTTACAGTCAAGGCATTTCGTTATTCCCTGCTGATATGGGCGCCTTTTCCGGCGTGGGAGGGAAATGCTTTATAATTTCCGCAGCACCCAATCGGTTGACACACGGGAAAAAAATAAAAACAAAGTACATTTTGGTGAAACCTCCCAAAAGCGGTTGTTGAACCTTCACTTGAGGGATGTGAAATTTTGTTTGTTGCTTTTGTAAAAGATTTTCTTTTCTTGTATGCTATGGAGTCGAAATGGGTAGAGCCCATTTGTGCCTTATCTTAACTGCTTCATTTTAACCGCTTCGGCATGAGGCTGTTGAATGCATTGGCCGTTCCACCCCCCTTTTTAACGAATCTGTACGAAGCGGACCGACTGGGGCAAGCAGAACAGCTCTTTCTCTATATCGTCCAGTGACTTTTCCCACTTCACTGCAATGACCTTCGGAGGGTCACTTGGCCCAAATGAAGAACACCTTCCAGTTATTTTTCCGCCCAGCTGGTTGGTCATCTCAGCTCTCACATTTTGAGATTCCCATTTTGCAGTTGTCAGTCCACTGTTGTGAAGCGAAAGAAAAGGTTGACTAGCCGAGGATGGTGGTTTTTTTGTCCCACCACGGTTGATGGTCCTATTGCCGTCAATTTTGTTCCTGGGATTATCAACCTTGGGATTACCACTTCGAAAGAGCGACCCCCCGGGAGGAGGATTCTCCCCCCCTTCGGCAAGAAAATTTGCATTCGAAAAGGGTGAACGAAGCATCTCGTTCGATAAGTCCACATTAGGTACAACTTTCGTTTTTAGCCTTCTGCCATGCAATCGTATGTCGCTACTGTAATCGGGTTTGCAAGAGGGCAACCCCCACAGTGCATTATTTTTATCCACAGGTGAGAAGTTAAAGTAATTACTTATGTAGCCTCCGCGGAGTCCATCAGCCCATGCACTTTTCCCATTAGGAGTTCTACTATTAGCATTTTTTCGTGCACCTATCATGCTTCCGTCCAAAGTGTAACTACTCATCTTTGGTGTCCTGCTTCGCGATATCTTCCTGCTCTCCCTGTGCGTTGGTTGCCGTGCGGTATCGTGACGCCTATATGTACTCTGTTTGGACTCTTTTTCCTGTGCAAAGGGAAAATGAGAAGGGGGAGACCATTTTTACAATGTTTGACTTAAGTGCGCCACTTCGACGGCGTCACAAACAAAGGTACATTCTGCGAAGCCCAATTATTATGAGGACGCACGTTAGATACGTGAACCCATTTGACGGTTTTAACAAAACAGTAAAGTTATATTCTCCACAAGAATAGTTCTCTAATTTGTATGTCCATTCGTCCTCCATTTCTATAGTCTTTTTTTTTTTCTTTTCTCTTACCATGTCAACCCCGTAGGACAGACAACACATTTGCAGATACTTCACGACACTCTCATCTTCCATCCCTCGATTCTCATGCTTCTCTGAGGACTCTTCCAGCAGCCGTTTGTGCACATCGCTTGTTATGTGACCACCTGCCCGTTTGAACAGATCCTCTCGCTCGGCTTTTGCATCAACGTCTGCGTCGATACCCGCTTTGATGTGTATCTCCCTTTTCCCCCCCCTCTTGTTTGCTTTTTCCCATGCCGCGCGGTCCACTTCGGCTTCCACAAACCTGCGAACATTCGGCTGAAACGTGCATTCACGCAATTCTATTAGCGCGTCGTTGTGCCCTACCCCGATGGCGTCCTTTTTTAGGAACGCCTTCAATATTGTCATCGGGTCGACGCATTTCTTTTCCCTTCTGAAACGCCCCATCTGAGTGAATTTTCTCCTCTTAATTGTTCCCTTTGATAGGTCCCTGTTTTGTGGGTCCACTGTGATACGCCTCCGTCCACTATTTTTTGACAAGAGCATTATGCTCTCGTGTATGACATCATTGAGAACATTTTCGTTTTCCATCACATGGTAGTCTTCCCTTAACAGGGGAGATCCTCCCGTTTTGCATCTTGGCTCGTTCCACTTCTTCCAATCGGGAAGGGTAAAATACCCCTCTGAAATGTCCCCTCCCAGAAGAGCATTCTCCCCTTTATTGGAAAAGAACACCTCCTTATATTTCCACATTTGTAGGACCGTCCTGAGTAGCACATCACTCTTACGTTCTAGTCGATCTTTAGCAAAGCATTCCCTCTGTATTATGTTAAAAAAGGCCTTTCTCGATATAATCAACATTTCGGGGGGTGGATTCTTCATCTCCAGCCTACTTCCCCCTTCCCATTGAGCCAGCAAGCACAGGTCATTCTCGTTAGCTACTCTCTTCACCTGGCACACATTCTTAAAGTGGAATTCACCACGTGGATTAGCCTCATCTTCAAATAAAGGATTTTTTAGTGCATCCACTTTCTGCGCGTTGTCTAACAGGTACGGTAAAATAACTTTTTGAAATTTTCCTTTTCCCCTTTCTGTCAAAGATGAATAAACATCGATGTTGAACAAATCCACGGAATTGTCTTCATCCCTGTTTAGAGAATTCCAAATTGTTTCAATTCCTTTGTCCAGCATAGAACTATTGAGAAGTGTTCCGACTGGGGGAAAGGAGTTTTTTTTTTTCTTTCCATCTAATCCTTTTTTTTTGAAAGCTGACCCACTTCTGCTTCCATCCCCATGACGGTTCGCCCTTCTACGTCCAGTGCAGTTTTTTTCACCATCTGCGTCACTTCTTTTTGGCGATATGGAATAGCCTCCACATAGATCGGTCTTTCTAAGACGGTACTTTGTGCACACATCGATATGGTTCATTTTTTTGTTTTCTTTTCCTACCTTTTGTAAAGACATGCAATGAGGAAGGCACTCCCCATCTGCCCCCCCTCTACCTCAGACAGTGAAAATGCAGAGTAGAGTTTTCTTTTCTGATGGCTCTTCTCCACCGCATGCAGATATTCACATTTCCTAAATCGTTAAACAGCGGTTAGGACAAACGAGAAAGAAAGAAAAAAAAAATTTTTTAAATAGAAATAAATAATTCTCCATATGGACACATCTCCCCTGCGGATGGCACCCTCAATGTGTGTAACTTAGTTACCCCTTTTTACTACCCCTGAGTTGTGATTTATTCTTCCTTCCGAAGAAGTAACGTGCAGCTTAAGTGCTTCCTAGGTTTCCCTCCGTCCCAGCAGCAGTGCACACTTTACTTCACAACATACGTGTGCAGGTACATTTGTGTGATGGGCACTTTTCTGTACGTACACCCCTAGGGGGGTATAACTTCAAAAATATTTTATTTTATTATACTTTATTTTATTTCATTCTATTTTATTCTATTTTATTTTGTTTTATCCCCCTTTTGTGCAGCCCTAATGTTAACGTCTAGTTGGTTAAAATGAGCAGAAGCAGCATCGAAGCATTCTGGTACGTGCCTGTTGGGGTTTCCCCGCGCGGAAGGGGAGAAACAGCGCGAGCAAACTGCCTACGTGCTTGCTCTAAACAAAAAGAGGGGGACACACGAAAAGGTGACCCGTCTATACAGCAGTGGAAACTCATTCATTAACAGTGTTTTCAATTCGGACAGTCCTTTATGCCTAACATCACGCGATCTGTTACAGGTCCAACACACCACTAAGTGAATACAAAAAAGAAAGTCAGCAAGTCCTTCTTCTGAACGATGCTATTGCGCATGACGCACATCAGTTCATTGGCGAACCCCTAACTCCACATCAACTTCACCATTTTCAATTTCGTGTTGGATCGCTATCTAGGTATAACTCACTTGGAGAAAAGTTTCTAATCTTTGGTTTGCTCACGTGGACAGGGAGAATGTACTGGCACGCACTCGCGCAGCACGGGGGCTGGCAAAAAAAAAAGGAACACGTACAACTCGAGAGAAAAAACTAAGACATGTCGTAAGAAGTGAATGGTAAATCACAAGCTAGTTGGAAAAAATGAATACTTATATAGGCAGAAAGATACATCCGCGAAATTGCTAACTGGTGCTCTACGGACGCGTGGGAGCAGGTGGGTGGACATCCTCCCGTGGAGAGGCGAATTGGAGGGAAAGCTTACACGTGGTAGATTAGTCTCGGGAGTGTGTCTGTCTGCCTGTCTGTGCTGGGGGGTGAATGGCTGCAGAATGTTGATGACTCTTCTTCTTTACCACATCGCAGCCACGTCTCTGCCACGTCTCTACCACATCGCTTCCACTTCGCTACCATATCGCTACCATATCGCTTTACCCCTTAGAGCGCATCGTTGAGGACGAACTCAGTTAGCAGGCGGACGCCAAATCCTTTGGGCTTTCTCGCCTTGAAGTTCCAAGACACTCCGGCAATATCTATATGGGCCCATGGCGTATTCTGAATAAACTCCTTCAGAAATAGGGAAGCCACAACGGAGCCAGCTTTTACACTGGAAGAGATATTATTCAGGTCAGCATACTTTGAATTTAGGGAGGATCTGTATTCATTAATCATGGGTAACCACCAGGCGGGTTCATTGGACGTCTTGGACGAATTTAAGATTTTATTTATTAACTGATCGTTGTTTCCAAAAACGCCAGCATAACTGGTGCCTAGAGAGTACAGCATAGCTCCTGTTAAGGTGGCAATGTCGACTATGTAATCGACGCTCAACTTTTCTGCATACACTAAAGCATCAGCTAATGTTAGTCTTCCCTCTGCATCGGTGTTACCAACTTCTATAGTCTTCCCATTGGAGGCTGTGATGATGTCACCAGGGCGATATGAATTTTTCGAAATCATATTTTCACACACTGCACTTAGGAAGTGAACCTCTACATTTTCCGGCCTCATGGTACCTATACAGTAGGCACATCCCAACACAGCTGCACAACCACTCATGTCAAACTTCATCAGATCTATCATGGATCCTGGAGCAGCTTTCAGATTATATCCTCCTGAATCGAAGGTTATTCCTTTTCCTACGAGTGCAATTTTTTTTCTCTTATTTTGGTTATCTCCCTTCTGTGCCCCTTTATACGTCAGATGGATGAATTTATTTGGATACATACTTCCCTTTCCGACGGAAAGAAATGAGCCCATTTTAAGTTCCTCTATTTCCTTGACATCTAAAATTTTGCACTCGAGCTTTACCTTCTTGGCTAACTCAACAGCTGCGTTGGACAAAGAAACTGGGTTGCAATAGTTCGATGGAGCTGCTATCAGTTGTGCTGCGTAGTAGGTACCATAAAAATACACACGCGCTTTGTCTATCTGTCCCTTATACATATCAGCATTGGCAATGTGCAATGATAAGCTTTTCATATAATCTGTGTTGCTACTCTTATCAGAAGACTTGAATCTTTCATCCGTGACGTATTCGTAAAATAAATGCTCCAGGAAAAACCTAAATAGGTTCTCTTGGATTTTTATCTCAAATACGATGGAAACCTTTTTGTATTTGTTATCAAGCAGCATGGTCGCTAGTGCGTATGTTATTTTCCTAATTTCTAGTTCTGTTTCTTCTTTCGCAGGACCACATCCGACGTACGCAAGGCTGACATACTTCTTCTTGTCATTGGCGATGTAGAAGCTTTTACTGGTTCCTATCTTTCCTGAGAAGTTTTCCATATTTCCTTGTTTTAAAAATTCATTAATCGTCTTATCGTTCACGTTAGAGTTTATTTTGATCGATCCGCCACTTACGCCATTATCGCCGCTACCACCGCTGCTGCTATTCTTCGGGGCGCTGTTGAGGAGAAATACGATCAGACCCTCATCCGCGGGACAAGCTTCCTTGTTGATATCTTTTACCTCTATGTTCAGGTCATCTATGGGGGTGTGATAATCTATGGGGATGGTCGTTGGGTCCAGGGACACTACCTGCGGCACTAGGGTCGCCATTTTCCGAATCTCCTTTCTGTTGCTAATGCTACTAAATGTTTGGCTCTGAAAAAATGGGGGGCTTCTATCACCACTGGCACTTTTACAAAGTGGATGCCAATGCAAATGGAAAATGCGATTTTTTTTGCTCTCTCCAAATTGTGTTACTCCTGTTCGGAAGCTCCTTTTGGGGATATTCCAATAGCTGTTTTTTATTGGTGGCGATAATGTTAAAAGAGGCATTGAAAAGCTGTAGACTCGCCAAGGCGCGCATTGTTGTCGCGTGGCTTGAAGCGCGGAAAGAGGAAAAATTCCTCTACAACTGTTCGTTCCTGTACCTTTAAGAATATATTCGCGCGTGCAAAATGCGTATGCCTTTTTCTGCCGATCATGCGAGAATGTTGACTCTTTCTTTTGTAGAGCGTAGATCAGAGTGTAGAAACTGCACGTGCGGCGTTTTTGTGCGTTCTGCAAAGTGTTGTTATGTTTCGTAGTAACGTACTTTAAAATATAATCCTATTTTGTTCGGCTGAGTTTTCTTTCTCAAGCTTTCAACATTTAACCTTTTAACCTTTTAGCTGCTTAATTGTTGCATTTTTAATTTTTTAATTTTTTCGTGGCACTTGGCCGCGGCCCCCCCCCACGTTGCATCATTTCTTGCCTAAGCACTTGCCGGGGATAAGGTAGGTGAGGTGCGAGAAGCCATGTCAAGGTATGCGAGGGACGGCGAACGCGTGTATATGCTCATGAGGCAGTGCGTATCCCCTCTCGTTTTGCGCCCACCCTCCATGAGGGGGCTTCCTCTGGGAGCGGAGACCCTTGCTGATGAGAGCGTTCCAAAAAGAGGCCAACTTTGAAACAAATGCGTATTTTTCATACAAATATCGGCTGCGCTGTTGTAGGGGGGAGGGTGCACACAGGCCATCGTTCCTTAAGGGGAGTACTTGGCAGTGCATAAGAGAGAGCAATCTTACATACCTAGCAGGGACGTAAGTATTCCTGCCTATTGCCAGTGTAGCTTCGCAGGATACCTACATAATTGCATATATAAGATGAACGCATATATTGCCCATGTGCGTTGTACCTATCATTATTATGCGTGTACGAATGGCTACATGCATTGGCTTCCACCCATAGCAAGAGCACTTTTTTTTATGCTTCCCTTTAGCCCCCCATCAGACGCGCCCAGTATATGTAGGGTATACCATTGTTCATCGCGTATTGAGATGTGCATGTATATATATACGTATATATACATAGGGATATATAAATATAGGTGCACGTACTGGGCGCACCTGTGCAAAAAATGACAACACTGCTGGATTTTGCGAGGTTTGGGCGAAGTGGGTGTATATTCTGTTTTTTAGCATTTTTTGCTTCTTCGTTTTTTCCGATTTTCGGTTTCTTGTTTTTTGTTTTTTCTTTTTTGCGATTTTTCGATTTTTTTCTTCTTCCGCTTTCCCCGCTTTTTTCAAATTTGCCTCGATGCGCTGCCCCCGTCGGTGTTTTTTTTTTTTTTTTCTGGTGAACAATTCGTTTAGTTCTAATCTGTGCCATTTTTTTATTTTTTAAATAACGACATTGAAGAGATTTATATATATATTTTTTTTACTCTATCTGATATTTTCATTGTTTTTGTTCTTTTTATTTTTTTTTCATTTTTGGTATATTTCATTTGAACCAGAAACTTCCCTTTTTACGATTTAAAAATTGCGCTTTTGCGAAAGGGTTGTTTGATATTACTGCAAAATTGTGGCTGTTTTTTTTTTTTTCTTTTAGGCCTCTTTTTGCGTTTTTCCCTTTAGAATGTAGGGAATTTCTCCTTCCGTTGTGTTTCTACTCATTTGATTACGTTGGATGCCTTGCCACATCGTCACATCGTTCAATTTTGTTGCATTGCTATATGGCATCCTTTGCCTCTTAGCTGCATGGCTGGCCAGTTCATTTTTTTGCTCGACCGTTGGTTCTTCTCGCTTGGCATCATCATGCCATTTTTATAAAAATTATCGTGTAATAAACTATTGCAAACATGCACATGTCTCGCAGGACAAGTATGTAACAAACTTTTCCGCTTTTTGCAAAGGGGCAGCTTAATGGATGGACATATTTTTTTTTTTTTTTTCCTTTGTCCACTCCCCCCCTCCTGCGCATTTAATGCAGCTGGACACTGACCCATTTTGTGTTATGCCAGGCGTTTTCAACATATGATTTTGTGTAAGTGGGAAAATATTCATCCCGTTGCTTTTGTACAAAGCTTTTGTTGCAGAACATGCATCGAGCTTTTTTTCCTTAACCCTTTTTCCTGTTCGCAGATTTGTTATTTGTATGCTTATTAACCGCCTTCTGTCCCCCTCTGAATTTATTTTTTTTTTTTTCCTTAAAATATGCTCACATTTTGTCATTCGTGTAAGGGATGTACATTATGAGCCCTATCGTAGGTTAATTCCTACTTATCTGTTCACTCTGCAGTTTTTTTAAATTCCTCAAGGGGGAAAATATATTTCTTTTTTTTTTCTTTTTACATGTCTACATGCGCGTTTGTCTCTTTTCGTGTATGGCACGGCTATTCCTCCTTTTTCTTTTTTTTGTCGTTTCATTGTTCGTTTGTAAGCAGACAATTCGGTCACCTGTCTCAAATGGGCGCATCGAAGCTTTGTCCCTCATTTTTGCAAAAAATGCAAAAGAAGAAAACGCAGAGTTGAAAAAGTGAAGAGAGGATACCCCTCGAAGACGGAAACTGGACCGCAGAACCTGGGCGACGTAATCCAAAGCATACGCCCAGAGAGGAGGGATGCATCCCCCCGCCCTCCATGTACTCCCCCACCAGAAAAACTCTCCCAAAATATAAGACCGACACGGGAAACGCTCAAAGAAAATGAAAGCGCTGGTGTCTTTCTACATGTCCACTTGTCTGTTCGCAATATCTGTCGTTTTTAACAACTCCTCGTTTTACCTCCTGCCGTGTGATGCCTTTCCATTTGGGGTTTCCGAAAATAAATACATTCAGGCTTTCCCCGATTTCCACCTCTTTTACGAATATGTGGACGTCAGAAGTGATGACTCCCCATCTGAATTGGGGCTCGCACAGAAGGAAAGGAAGAGAAGCCGAAAAGTGCTATTCCAGTCCGATAAAGTAGTGTCTTATAAAAATTGCGGACTCAGTAGCGGTGCAAATCACGAGCAGGATTGTGAAAATAATTATGAAAAGCACAGCGTACACAATTACGTAGAGGATTATCCTCAGGGAAGTCGTAGAAACTGTATCGCTACCCACGGGGAAGGAACGCGAAGCGAACTGTTCCAGAACAGGTGTGCTGCAATGGGGTTAAAATTTTCTCAGCGCCTGAGTCAGATGTTCCGTTGGTGCCTCCCCGGTAGTTCCAACATTGGGAATGGATTTGAAACTATCCATTTTGGTTTCCCCGATGCTTACACCTTTGGTGGAAAGCGGATTCTTATGTGTAGAGAGGATTCTGATGACCATAAGCTGGACAGGCAAATCAGTAACAGTAGCAATGCGTGGAGTAAGGACAGCTCAGAGGTCGCACTTTCCCCTTCTAACGAGCTGTGCCAAAATAGCGACCTGAACCTGATCCAAGAAATTTACGAATACGAGATTTACCCATTTCTGAAAGGACTCCTCAGGAAGAACTTGCGCAGAAGATCCCCTCATGTTATAAACAAATCAGAGACATATTTTTCCGGCTGCACAGAAGGGATTGCATCCAAGAGAAGCGAAAACGTTCAAGTAGGAGAACATATTGTGTTGTATCACCCCTCCCGTAGACATCGAAACGATATATTCAATCAGTCCAAAGGGATCAACCGGAAAAAGAAGAAGAAGAAGCATAGGAAAAGGGGGAAGGAAAACAAGTCCGATGGGATGGCAAATACTCACAGAACAGGGAATAATTCTTACCTAAAACAAGATGAAGATAAAGATGATGTGCACATCCCTGCAGAAATGCATTACGTCTATACCATAAAGAAGAAGCTGCTGCGCAACGTCGCCTTCTTAAACATGTTAAATAAATACATTCAGTACAAATATCATTCCAACGGATTGGTCAAGGTGGGAGAAGATGCGGGATATCCTGGCCACCCCGAGGGGAAGGCAAAGAGGAGCCGCTTCACCCCCTTTCTGGAACAGCATTACGGGAAAATCAGCATGAGTGAAAAAAGTGGGCAGAAAAAATATAGCCATAAAGGGGGCATATCCTTTATTAACAAAAAGGCCATTGTCATCTTGGATCATTTAAAAAAAGAAACCTCATATCTGGTCGTCTCCTACGTGGTCGAGGAAGAAAAGGCTCAACTGCTAAACTTCACAGAATATTTTGTCCCCCTGAAGGTGCCTGTATATATGCGAAGTTTTATGGACACCCCTGAGGAGGGCAATCACGCCAAACAGTACGAACAGATCGATGGATACATTTCCCCCAATGCAGATCATCTGCATTGGAAGGAAGATATTTGCTACTATAACTATGGAGACAACTGTATGGAATATTTAAAGAATCTCTTTTTAAAAACATGCAAAGTAGTCGTGCATCCTGATGGTGAGGTCAACAAGCGGAGGGAATTCTTGCATGTGATGAACCCGGTAGGGAGGACGTGCCTCGTAAATGAGCACCATAAGTATATGCAGGAGAGAGAGACAGAATTGCCAAGGGGGGCAAAAAAATGCAATGAGGAGGATAACCAAAAAGTGGGTCATTCACACGGAAGTGTAGCGACAAAAGGGAGGGAGCCCCATTTCTTGCGGTTGTATGCCCATTTGGCCCACATGAAAGGATTTCACTGTTTTAACCGCTGGCTATTTCGCTTGTTTCAGGTGTACAGGGGTCTGTACCAGAGTGGGAAGTTAAAAGGTGAAGGGGAAAGTCGGAGGGGATCCACGGGAAGGGAAGATGACCCCACGCAGGGGCTGCACGTCGATAAGGCGTGGGAGCCACGCAGAAGCAGAGCAAACGACGCCATCAACGTGAGCAATGCCAGTAACACCAGTAACGCGAGAAACGTCGCTAACTTCAGCAACGTCAGCGAAACCAGTGACTTCCCTAACCACGCAAAGAGAGGTAACATGACTCATCGCAGGGAATACATAGTCAGCACGTACGCCAGATCGGACGGCGGGTACCACTACTACCTGATCAACTACAACAACCAGAAGTACATTTTCGAGGTGAGCGCTAACTCAGACCTGTATAGCAGACCGCACACTAGAAGTAAAAAAAACAGAGAAGACATGACAGACACAGAAAGGGCCATAATAGAAAATATGAAGAAATACATGGAGGAAGGAAACAACTTCTCCGTGTACATTGATGACGTACCTCCCCCAAAAGTGTATGACAAGGGCTGTAACAAATTTAACACGATAAAATGGGCGTTGATTCTCTTCTTCATACCGGCCTGGTTATTACTAAATGTGGTGTACATTGTGTATGTGAAGAATGTATGGAGACAGATGTTGAACCCGTTGTATAGACTCATGTTGTCTCCGTCGATCATTCGACTCGCATCCTACATCATGCTGTTACTTTTCTGCATGATTCAGTTCCCCTACAAGAATAGACGCTATGTGGAGTATACTATTTTGTCATATATGGCTCTGAACACCATGTTCAACACCATCTTTTATGGCAACCTCATTCTTATAAGTAAAGGGTACATGATAACAAGGGGCAAATTTAGCAGAAGGGATAGCCTATCCCTAACCCTACTTATTAGCAGCATATACATTTTAACCTCTTTTAACCAGCTAAATGTCATTAATGATACTCCCATATTGATCTTTATCAATGTCAGTTTGCTCCTAGTCCTTGTTGTCAACACCATATCGATTCAGAATTTTCTAAAATTGAAGCTGTCCTTTGTCAGAAGTGTACGAATGATGGATTCCTGGGAAGAGTCACTCAGAATAAAATTGAGCATGTATAGAATGTACCTCCTCATCATTGTTAGCTTCTTCAGCTTAGAAATTTTACTGCACTTGCTAAAAGCCATGTTTAATTTTTTAACGGGGACTGTCATCCTGATCGAGTACGCCTTCGAGTTGATTATGTGGTGCTGCGTGTTGTACGTTTTTAGACCCCGGGGTAACGTGCTCTACTTTTCTCTCCTGTATGATAATTTCACCTTTAATATAATGCCACTCTACGTGGCGAAGACGAGCGACGGGATGTTCGACACGGTGAGCGATGGCATGCTCGAGACGATGAGCCAGAAACAGTGGCCTCTCCCGGGCGCACACTTTCCCATTTTTATTTTAAACCCCCGGGAGCACACCGACCAGAATTACCTCTCGCGCATGGCCGTGGGGTGGCCCCTGGTTGTGCACCACGCGAAGAGGTATATCTGAAGGGGTATGCGCGGCAGGTTGGCGGGAGATAGGCGGCTAATAAGCAGTCAACTGGCTTCCTATAGGGGACATTTCCGACTTGTACACTAGAAGAACATACTATCGAGAAGATTTCCCCAAGGCGTATGCGTGCAATTTTGAAGACCCCCAAGAGCCTTTTTTTTTTAATACCCTTTTAATCCGAACTAATTTCCGGTGAATATTTTCTGCCGTGCTGACAAGAAGAGGTGACATCTGGGGCGGTGTTTTCCCATCTAGGGAGAGGTCCCGCCGTGGAGTTGTTCAGAAGGCTTACGTAAGCGGATGAAGGTGTTATTCTGTAGAGGGAGACGGTTGAGGCATACACATAATCTGAGAATACATGCGGATGCATACTCTTTTATGCCTGCACATGATTGGTCCCACGAAGGAACAAATGCCTTCTTAAAACTTACCATGATGATTACACACACCAAGGAGGAACCACCAACCGAGACCACGACTAGCGCATTGGCTTCGTGAAAAAGTGTTTGCAGAAATTTGCGTTCCATTGTTCTACCCACGAGTGGGAAGCGAAAAATGCGCGATGGTTGATTTGATAGAAGACAGGAGAACGGTGTTGTACCATTTGAACATTCCTTCAGTTGGATAGAAGGGTACGACAAAATGATGAAATTGTGAATAGCGAATTTACGAATGGTTCAGGGGGAAGATGGTCCCTTTGCGTGGAGGCATACACACCATGCTGTGCTGACCGACTCCATTTGTAGCAACCTACTGTAACGTTGATGGGGGAAGAAATGTCACATGGCTTCTCAATTTGACTTGAGGAATGGTAAAAGCACTGTCTGCCCTTCCCCCCATGCATTGCGTTTTTAACATTTCATTAAAATTTTGTCCCAATTTTTTACACCTTGTTTTTGTTCCTCGATTTGTTTTTAAGTATTAACCTCGCGTTTTTTCCTTCTTTTTTTTATTTTTCTTTTAAGCGGCTGTGTGTGTATTTATACCCCGCATACGCCTAAGCTTTTATAAGGTTTCATTTTTTCCCCGCTTACCTGGGGAAAGTCAAATGAAATTTGCTCCTTATGAGACATCAACAGGTTTTTGTTTAATTTTTTTTTTCTGTTCTATTGGTTATTCTGCGTTTTTTGAGCTGCGGTTTTGCACGAAGCTGAGGGGCACCCCTCCCGTTATGGTCCACATTGGTAATGTACTTATGAATGCGCTTTTACAGCAGTGCCACTGTGGCAGTGTTTTTCTGTGTCAAACGGGTTTTCTCATTGGAGAAGGGCAGCGAGGGGAGCTTAAAAATGGCTGCCCATCTGGGAACATGCACACACGGACGCGTGCATGCACATATAAAAAGGCACTGCTCACGCGGGCCTCTGCTTTTTTCAGTCGGCGGCCGCTCCCCCCTCTATGCGTGCATGTAGGTGGCCATGTACACGACGTCCTCCTTCTTAACAATGCAGGCGTCCTCGAACCTGCTCGAGTACGCTATAGGGACATCTTTTGTGCACAAACGGACGGGGCGCCTCTCTAAGAAGGAGGAAAATTTCTCAACTACCTGGGCGTAGAGCTCAGCACCAATGCCCCCAAACCCAGCGGACTCATCCAGAATTAAACACTTCCTTGTCTTCTTTAAAGAAATCCCAATTGTTTCCAAATCGAACGGTTTTAATGAGATCAAATCGATTACCTCAACGTGTATGTTAATATTAGTTAGTTCTTTTGCAGCCTCCAATGCGATATGGCGAGTAACCCCGTAACATAAAATGGTCAAATGGTTTCCTCTTCTTACTACTTCAGCCCTATCGATCGGTAAGGTGTATGGTAGGAGTGGTATCTCCTCCTCGATATTATATAGTAACACATGCTCCAAGAACAAAACAGGGTTGTTGTCTCGTATGGCCGATTTTAATAACCCTCTAGCATTGAATGGAGTAGAGCAAGACACAATTTTAATCCCTGGGACACTCATCAGATAGGATTCAATTCTCTGTGAGTGTTCTGGTCCCAACTGCTTTCCTATCCCTCCTGGTCCTCTAATGACAATAGGAATGTTAAACTGACCATCACACATATATCGCATCATGCATGCATTATTAGAAATCTGGTTAAAGGCTAAAATTAGAAATGACAGATTCATTCCTTCCACTATGGGCCTCAATCCATTTATGCACGATCCAATGCCTAACCCCATGAATGAATTCTCACATATTGGTGTGTCCAACACTCTGGCGAAGCCAAAAAAGTGGGCTAAGTTTTTTGTTACCTTGTATGATCCTCCATACAAGCCAACATCTTCTCCCAACACGTACACACTTTTGTCTCTTTTCATTTCTTCGTATGTGGCCATATGTAGCGCTTCACTTATGTTTCTCTTTACCTTAACGTTTTTCAGTTCATTTTTGTAGTTCCCTTCGTTTATTGTCACTAGGTTGTCTTCCTTTCCCGCTGGGATTGTCTTGTTTGTGCTCAGGTACCCCTTGATGTTAGTTCTTTTCCCTCGTGGTGGGTTGTTTTTCCTTCCGATGAAGTTTAGCAGTTTTGTGGGTTCCTTCCTGCTTTGGCTCGACCAGGTCACGCAGATTCCAAGCCAAAGGAAAAATATCGCCACCTTGTACATTATTCTTCTTTGCACTAATCAGTTGCGAAAAGTCGCCTGCGCAGCGCTGATATGCTCTGCTCTCCCAGGTGAACCTCTGCACACCTACGTACATAGTGGTGTGCGGGCCCTTCCACGTGCATACACCTATTCACGATCACCTCACTGATGAACCAGACGGCGAACTCCTTATTTCGATGCATAAAGCAAAGTAGGCAGTGAAACCCTCAATGTGCTATGTAAAAAAAAAAAAAAAATATATATCTACACAGATCTACAACAATATCCGCATTGAATTAACACCCAACATGACGCATCTCACAAGAGGGCAAACACGAAATGGTACTCTTCGTCGATTTTTAGTTATCGCAAGGTGGCACATGAAGAAAAGGAAAAGAAAAAAAAAATAAATAAAAAAAAAAACATTTTACCAAAATATGCCTCATCATTGTATGGTTTGTCCCTGAACAAATCTTCCCCTGTGCATGCCGCTTTCACGTATTTCCCCAATGACAGGGGAGAACAAATAGCGTGCCTTTTGAGTTACATTCCAGTGAGTTACTACCAAGAAGCTACTTATTTTTTTTCCCTCTTTCATTCTTTTGTTTTCTAATCGGCTAAGTATTTGTGGGCGACCTAAGGTTGCAGCTACGCAGGGGATACACAGAAAAAAAAGGAAAAAAAAAAAAGGGTTTAACAAATGTTGTAATCTATATATATTTTTTTTTTCCCCCTTTTTTTGTTACACTATAGGTGCACGCAACTATTTGCAAATGGCCCTGCGCGTATTTTCCACTTGGAGAATAAACAACAATGTGAAAAGGTTTATACGTCTACTAATCTGGTGCAGAGCTTCAGTACTACAAATGGCCCACAAAATGGAGCCACTAAATTGACAGACAGAATTGGCCAATAAAACTTCTGCCCAAATTTACAGCCCCCCCAGTGGGACCTGCAGTGATGGGGCGAATCTCTGCACAACTCCCCTTTTACATGTTTCATCAGCAAGGAAAAAAGGGTCACACCGAAGGAAGCCCTCTTCTTTTATGCACAACACTTTTGGGGTCCCATTTACCCTTCGTTGCCACCGAAATGGAACAAAAATATCTTCGAAGAACACGAAATCCTTAAGTTTCTCCTCTATCCCTTGACGGTAACTACCTAAAGGGACACTTAACATGTAGAGAAAATATATTCCCACTTCTCTTCCATTTTGCGCCCTTTCCGTGGATTGGCAAAGACGCCATTTTGGGAAGAAGTTACCAATTCGTGAAACAGAAAAAATATGACTTCGTGAAAGGTCGCCTCATACTATCTCACCATGTAACAGAGGCGTCCATATGATAAATGGCATTCGAAAGGGCCACTCTGGTGTGTCATTTTGCTTCACCTTAGTGCGCTGTTCTTTCGCAATGGAGTGAAAAAATCGGCTTCCTAAACAGGAGGAGACACGGTTGGCAGGGGACATTGCGCGACTGACTGCTTGTACACAGTGTGCACTCATCTTTGTCTATATGTATTTTTGCTTTTACTCAGCACCGATGAGCGTGTCCGATCATTCGCGTTAATGAGGAAAACGTTCTGCATGTTCCCAGCGCGCTGTTTTTTCTGCGTTAACGGGAGAGTCCCCAAAGTGGGAAGGTTAAAAGGCAACCTTGGAAAAAAAAAAAAAAAAAAAAAAACCATCAACCAAGCGAATGGTCGATGGAGCGAATAGCGAACGAGCGGAAAGCGAACGAATTAGCATATGCCCCTATGTGGCTTACTCCCCAGGGTACCTTTTTTCCTTCCCTTGTTTACCCCCTTGCCATGTCGTTAAATGGTTAAAGATTGTTCCCCTTTCCAATGTGAGTTCATCGATGGCCACTCTCTTGTGAAACCTGTCCAAGAAGTATGCCATAATTTCCGCGAGGGGATACCAAACATATGTTGCAACATCGTCCGTAGATGAACAGACCATGCAAAAAAACTACAAGATAAAATCTCCCAAATGATTTTTTCCCTCTATGCATCACTTTCCAATTCTTAACATCTGTGCACACTTTTTTCCTTTTTTCCTTCCTTTTGGCAAGGGAACATAACTGTGTTTTGCCACCGTTTCGATACCCCCTACAGGTGCAGTTATAGGCAAATACATACGTGCGTTCCTGCGTGAGGGCATCAATAGGGAGGGTATATGCTACACTTCCATGAACAGTCACTCATCAGTAAACCCCATCGTGCCTTCTTTTCTCTTTCCCAAAATAAATTTATTTGTGTATGACCGCCTAGCCGCATGCCTTAAAATAGGAAAGAATACCTCCATTTTGAACAGAACAGACTTGTGCTGCCCATATGCCTACGTGCGTACGTACGTACACATATGTGTATGCCTTTTTTTTTTCCTTTCTGAGTGCGCTTCCTCCCCCCCTCCTTTTGCATGTGCATGGTGCCACATTACGGTGTGACGAGGGAAACACGGAACTATGTTGGTTCTTAAGCCCGTTTATCCTGTGAACAAATAATTCAGCACATGTGGTTGGCAGCAAGGAAATGGTGCGGGCCTTTTTAAGCTTATATGCGCAGAGGCTATTATATGTGCAGCGGCTATTATATGTGCAGCGGCTATTATATGTGCAGCGGCTATTATATGTGCAGCGGCTATTATATGTGCAGCGGCTATTATATGTGCAGGGGCTATTATATGTGCAGGGGCTATTATATGGACAGGGGTTACATATGTGCTGGAGCTATTATATGTGCAGGTATATATATGCTTGCATTACATAGGGGAGTCGCCCTTTTCCTTCCGAGCTCTTGCGAGTGCGTACTGGAGGAAATACACAGGCAAGTACCTACCGCCGAGTCGTTTTTAAAAGATACGAAGTTTACCTGTGCATATGTCGTTTATGGAAAAATTATTGCCAAGAGTAATTCGCTTCTTTTCTTTTCTTTTCACGTGCTTGCCATTTGCTCGTTCGAATGTTCGTCCATTCCCTTGTGAATTTATTTTTCTCCTCTCCCATAAATCGTTTTTCATTTGATGAACCATTTCGCAGTTTTGTATTTTTTTTTCTTTTCTTTTTCTTTTTTTTTTCTTTTTCCTCTTTTCCCTTTGCCTGAATTGTAAACACATAGCGCTCGCGAACGGTCATAGTATTTACACGGCTGTTAAGCGTACTTCAATGGCATATTGTAATCGTACCAGCAAGAACAATCTTTGCTTATGTAAAAAAGAAAGAAATATGCTTGACTTATATGTTTGTTTTTAACCCCTATGTTTATTGGGCTACGCGCATGTCCCCCTGCGCGTGACGCCTTCTGCAATTATCAACACGTTTTTGTTTTCATTCGTGTTTCTCCCCTTCCGTACTTAGAGGTACGTACCACGCGTATGTCCTTATGAAATACGACACTTGACAAGGGGAGCTGAATTCAATTACGGGGAACCTAGCACTTATCTCATCGATTTACTCTTCCAGAGTGAACATTAAATAGGGGGGAAACTCAAGGAAGAGAAGTAAAATTTTGAACGAAGTTAAATCCTGTTCATTTGTTTTTTTTTTTTTTTTTTATTTTTTTTTATTCTGTCCAGCTTGCTCCTTGGAGGATTATAAGCACAAGTGTTTATGCCCCCCAACCCTGTTTGAAACAACGTGGGTTTTGGGTGATCACTCCCCTTGGAGAAAAGTGCACAGATGAAGTGACCCTCTCGATGTGGCGAAAGCGGGAGGCGCGTACATTGCATGTATATTATGCGCATGGCATTCCTCGCCCGCGTCACAGACAGGTTCTGCAACCCTGGCAGTTATATAAAATTAGCAAAGCGCCAACAGTTGCATTAGATGTGTACCGTGTGTAATTATGAAAATAGGGCAGCCGATTAAGTAGGAAAAATAACATCAATACGTCATCATTGTCTGTTAAGGGAGCCTCTTTTTGTTTTTATTTCTCCCCCCCTGGGCGCTCCCTTCTTTTATAATAAGACACACCCATGTGGCATATTACATTGCAAAGCGATCAGACCCACTAAATTGACGTAGCGAAAAGGGGGAAATTATGTTCAGGGAAGAGCCCAGTCGTGAGTTTTTTCTCTCCCTCTCCCATGCTTTTTCACTATTATAAATATCAGACAAGTCAGAGTCGCGAAGGAGATGGTTTCGCACGGAAGAAAAAGGAAGAACTACGATGATCGAGGGGACAGGAATGATGTGTATGATGGGAGTGACCGGCACGATCGCAGTGACAGACACGACCGGCAGGACAAGGAAATAATTTACGACCAAATATATTCCACGCCCAGGAAGAACAAGCCAAGATGCATGGTTGTGTCAAACTATAAGGACAACTTATTGAGCTACTTCCAGAGCATTATAAAAATTGAAAATAGTGCAGGAAATTTTATCAACAAATGGTACATACATTTTTACCGAGTCTGTTTATATAATGAGAAGCTGTATGCAGGTGCATCGGCGGCGACGGCCGACGGGGGAGGAGCTCCAGGAAGTAATGGAAAGAACAACACAAATGTGAGTAAAAAAAATATCGACAAATTGATCATCGAATACAATGTGGAGGAAGTCCTTCGGAAGGTGCAAACTTTAGTAGTCCGAAAATTAGATTGCGAAAATTTGTACTACCAGAAAATTTTAGTAATCGTTTGCCTCCTTTTTGACTTCTTCCAAAATAAGAAGCACGTGAACGTAAAGACGCTGAGGCATTTGGAAGGCGAGGAGGAAGAGGATGAGGGGGGGGACGCGACAACCACCAGGGAAGCGGGTGCCCAATTAGCTAATGAACGCTCTGAAGGGGATCACACAAATGGGAAAAAAAACTCTCGCGTGAAGGAGTCAAAGAAGAGGTCGAGAACGACATCTGTAGCTGCCAACTCGTCCAATTACGGAGATGATGATTATGATGAAATAACGAGCAATCGGAGAGGAAGCAGCAAGTATGAAGAAGAAACAGAAATAGACGTAAGGAAGAAAAAACACTTGAGACAAAGAAATTTCCAAAATGATGAAAGTCAAAAAAATTACTATATCATAGAATTTAAAAACTTACTTTTTAATGAAAAAAAAAAGTTTAACAATATAGAAATATTTTATCACATCACCAACTTCATTATACACAAATATTGGTACTCATCTGAATATGCGAGGTATAACGTATTTGTTTGGTTTTTAAATTACCTAAATAATAAATTGGAGATAAAAAAAAGTATTAACAAGATAAATGAGCAGCTGGAAATGTTCATCAATTTGCATCCCAAGATTTTTAATATTTCCCATGCGAAGAAGAGGAGGAAGAAAAACACTCACCATAGGAGTGCCAGCAATAGCAGTTATCATATGGCTGCCGCGGCAACGGGTACCTCCACTTCCAACCACAACAGCGGTGATCATCACTTTGAAAATGGCGTCTTAGATTATCCCAATCTTAAAAATAGGAATAGACAGCTGGGGGGAGGATTCCCGGATGCGACTAATATGGACAATAAAAACAAAGCTTCAAATCTAGAAAATATGAGCAAGGTTAACACATTCACTCATTTCGGAAGTTCCACCAATGTGGGTAACTCAGGAGGTGTTGGCAGCACTGGCTTTTTTGGTGCTACGAGTAGCAGTGCTGCCCTTGGCGGCATGCAAATCTCGACCCCAAACGTGGCTCCCTCGCCCGGCAACAACGTCAGCAGCAGCAACCCATTCAAAGGCTTTAACCAAAGCAACAACATATTTAGTAGCAACAAAGGTAATGAAAGCAGCCTATTCAGGAAGAGCAGCAACACCAACCCGTCCATCGGCAGCACATCTGCGGCAACGTCCCTCTTTGGAGGTTCTCTAAACAGTAATTCTAGCATGCACCCCTCCGGTAATAGCCTCTTGCCCAAGTTTAACAACGCCTTTTCTGGAGGTCTGAACGTGCAAGGTAACTCCAGCACCACAGGCTCGAACCCTAGCGGGAACAACCCCCTCTCAGGGAGCCTATTTGGAATGAAGAACAGCCTAACTAGCAATAACAGCTTTGGCAATCAAAACAGTAGCTCTCTTGGAAACAATCTTATGAACAATCTGTCCAATCAAACGAGCAACCTCTTTGATTCGAAAAATAATTCCTCATCGGAAACGACAAACGTGAACCTATCCTCCGGCACGAACAACCGCATCTTTGGTTTCGAGAAAAGTGCACAAAGCACTTCCCTCTTTGCAAATGCCGCTGGGAAGAACCAAAGTCAAAGTCTCTTTCCCTTTGGCAATAGTAGTCAAGCTGGAAATCCGGACAAGATGCAGTTGGGTTCCTCGTCCGCGGGTACTACCCCTATGTCAATTTTTGACCAGAAGAGCAAGGGAGACTCAGCTTTTTCGCCGATCCCCGGGGGGGGTACCGCGGTTACCAATTTGGCAGGTCCGAACAGTACGAGTAGCCTTGGGGGAGGTAGCGGTTTGGGCGCCTTGGGGGGGTTCGGACCGGGAAGCGGCGCAACTGGTGTCAGCGGCGGAAGCCTCATGAACAGCAGCGCCTGCGTCTCGTTGAAGCCGAGCTCCGTTTTTCAGGGCACCCCTGGTGTGCAGAAGGAGGGATTTTTTGGGAGTGGAAAGCCGAACGAGAACATTTTCGGCGCTAGCGGTCCCGGCGGGACCTCCGGCCAGACCAACATTTTTGGAATGCAGGCTAGCAGCGCAGGGAATCATAGTCCGTTTAGCAAGCCCGCCAGCGGTGTTGGCGGTGTCGGCGGTGCTGCCGCTGGTGTCATCGGAAGTATTGGCGCAAGTATCAGCGGAAGTATTAGCGGCAGCCTCGGGCTGAATAATAACCCCCTCAGCGGCGCGGGCAGCTCCATCAGCTTCGGCTCCAGTCTGTCCCAAAACCCAGGCGCGAACATGGGCATGGGGAATAGTTTGTCGCAAATAAACCCAAGTGGGTCGCACTTCCAACCGATGAGCACCCCCACAAGTGCAAACAATTTGGCCAACCTGTTTAATAGCGAAAATGGATCGAAGGAGTTATTCAAAGATTTGAAGCTATCCACAGACACGGGACAGAAATTTAGTGTAAATAAGAAACCACTTTTTTCGAAGAGGGTGAAAAATAACACACTCTTAACTCCGAATAATAACCCAAATGAGGGAACTAATATTTTCAGTTCAAACTATGTGAATAAAGATAGCTTGCTGATTAATCAGGACAAGCCCATGAAGGTTATATTTGGACAAAACAAGAGCAGCAGTGCCATCAGTGGGAGTGCCATCAGCGGCAGTGGAAGTGGTGGCGCTCCTGGACTCGGCCCAAGTCGGGGCATAAATCCTAATGGTAGTAACAACCAAGATAAGGCGGATAATCTCATTAACCAAAGCAGCAGTCAGATGGGAAATAAAATAACTTTCAATGCACCATCGAGTAGCATGGGGCAGAGCAATAATACCATCGCCTTTGGGAAGAGCACCAGCAATAGCCTCTTCGGAAGCAGCAGCAATAATTCATTTCAGAGCGGTACGAATAATCTCTTCGGAAATAATCAGACCAGTGGAAATACAAACAGTAATAACAACACCTTTGGATGGAACCCCTTCCCCACCCCCCCTGATGGGAACAAAAATGATCCTCAAAATAACAACCCCGCTTTGAGTATTCCCGTGAAGAAATTAACCCTAGAGGAGAGGAAGAGGAAAACAGCCAAAAGTAATATGCTCTCTTTATTTTCGAATAACCAAATGGGGGCCACGGATACGAATAATGCGATTAATACTTCTTTAGGTACGTCCATGTCGAATGGTTTGCTTGGCAATAAAACTTCCAGTAGCGTCACTCCGTTCAGTTTTAACACCCCTTCGATGGATAACGTCTCCAAGGGGGGAACAACCTCTGGCCCCACTGCCGCTACCGATGCGCCCAGTGGTACCTTCCTTTTTGGACAAAACAGAGGAAACGGAAGTAACAGTATCTCACTTGACACCTCGAAGACAACGTGGGGCGACAAAAAAGGATCTATCTTTGGCTCCGCCACTTCTGCCTCGAACACGGGAAGTGGTGCCGTCGAGGACCCTGCGAACAAGGAAGGAAATGGAGATAATACCACCTCATCCACGCCCTCAACGAACACCATCAGCGGTAATAACCCAAATGAGAAAAGCAGCTTCCAGGGAGGAATGAAAAGCAGTTTATTCCCATTCGGCGAAAATAAGGGGGGTGAAAATAACAGCGCAGCAACAGACAAGGAAAAACCCCAAAGTGGCATATTCGCTTTTGGAACTGGAGGTGTAAAGAGCGAGCAGAAGGAGGACCCAAAAGGGGAGGATAAAAACGACCTGTCGGAGAAGGACAAAGGAGGTGAAGAAAAATTGTCAAGCAAAAATGAAAAAGAGAATTTTCAAGTTTTTGGTAGTGCATTTTTATCTAGCATAAATGGACAAAATAAAGATGCGAATGTTAAAGGACCTGATTCCGTTCCTTCCCCTTTCGGTTTTGGCAATACAAAAACAGAAGAAAATAAAACGAGCTCGTCTCCCTTCACATTTTCATCGAATAAAGAAGACAGAACGTCGACTCCCATTTTTGGCCTTCCCAGCAAAAAGTCGTCCTTTAACGAAATGCACACAAGTGAGGAGAAGAGCAAAATGTCCATTTTTTCCATCGCTGGGGACAGCAAGCAAAAGGATGTTGTCGCGACGCAGTCCGAGAGCTCCGATGTATTTAAGTTCAGCCTCGCCGGGGTTGACACGGACGGTAACGCGGTGGGTGCGAATGTGGGCGGCCCAAAGATTAGCGACCACATAAACTACGACGATGTGAAGAACAGGAAGAGACGGAGGAACGTGGACTTGAACAACCAGGATGAAGCGGGTGGAGCGGCCAAGTCCAAGGGGAGAGATTTCACCGATGAGACAAATCAGTGGGGGGGTGACAACTCGGAGAGGAAAGGACACCGTGGAAGCCACTTGGGTGATGAAAAAGAAGATGAATTAAACACCGACAGCTTGTTCTTCAAAAAGAGCAAATTGGGCAGCGCACTAAGTGATACGAAAAATATTTTAAACACATTAAAATTTGACAACATTCCAAGTAAGGATATCCTAAGTGCGTCCCTTAATGAGAGGAGTATAAGTGCCCCATATAACAGCTTAATCGAGACTGGAGTTCTCAATGCTAATGCTTCATTATGGGATAGCAAAGAGGTGGGGGGCAATCCTACAAAGGATAAAACTGGGAATGGTATCGACTCCAGTGGGATTTTCTCCCCCACAGGAGAGGAAACTCAATTTGGCCTCCGAACTAGCCTCAGTAATCAGCAAACAGCCGAGAGGAACAACACGATTGGTGGCCCAGCACATTTTAAACAGCAGAGTGGGCCGAACCATGGTAGCATGGATGAATCGAATTTCCCATTTGTGACTCGTGAGGGGAACAACCTCCTAGACGACCAAGCCAAGAGAATAGCGAAACAGAAAGCAGAAGAACTGACCACTCTGGAAAGATTAAAAATGAATAACTACCTAATGAATTCGAAAAACGACAAGAACGAAAATCACGATGGAAGCAGTGACGTGGATGATGATGGAAAGGCAATAAAAAATGCGAAGAAGGACCACTTAGTTACAGACAAAAAAAGCGTAGATCGAATTGTAGCCTATAACAAAAAAATATCATTCGATGATATAGAAGTGGATTTAGACAAAGACATCATCGATTTGAATGACCTCAGACAAAACCTATTTCTGTGTGTTTTAAATTTTCACCTCAACTACTGGGCAGAGAAAGTTATCCTCTTCTACCCACACAACGAAAAAATTAATAAATTCTGTAACCGCATTATGAAGATAAAGAACCAATTTGATGAAACGTACAATTTTAACTTATTTGAGGAGATCCACATGTTATCGAAAAAAATGCTGAAAAGGTTAGACCGTAACTGCTGCATCTACGAAAGTGTGCTGTTCCTTTCGGCCGAAAATTTATACGTCCTAAAGAATGCCAAGCTGTCTCTCTTCGAAGCCTTCAACATATATCACTTTTGGTTTCAAAAAAATAGCCTCGACGTGAAAAAAAACTTCCAAAATTTTATGTACACGAATAAAATTTATCCCTCCTACCTTAACTACTATATGAACCTTTATAAAAACCACAAGTCGTTTAATTATAAGTACACACAAGGGGGGGGCGAGACGGAGGGGAATAGCAAGGTCAGTCGAAAGGAGAAGAAGCATCTAGACCGGGAGAGGGACAGTGCGAACAATTCGGATGATCAGGAGAGGGGCAGTGAAACCAATTCTGATGACCATGAGAGGGACAGCGCAACAAATTCGGATGATCACAAGAGGGACAGTGTAACCAATTCAACGGACCAGGAGGAGCCGAACGGTAGTGCCGACTTCTCGGGCAGCTGGGGACGCCCCCGGGACGATGAACCGACTAGCAGGGGGGAGGCGGACATGGAAGGAAGCGACGTAGGAAGTGAGCGCCGAAGTAGCCCCCGAAGTAGTCGTGGAAGTAGCCCCCGAAGTAGTCGTGGAAGTAGCCCCCAAAGTAGTCGTGGGAGTAGCCCCCAAAGTAGTCGTGGGAGTAGCCCCAGAAGTGGGCGCGGAAGCGATCGTGAGAGGCTCTCGAGAAGGAGGAGCAAGGCCAGAAAGAGGAGCGCCGAGCGCAAGGAGAACAGCCTGATAGAAATCCTCGACTCGAACAGCAGCGACGTGTCGGACGTGATGGACAACAGCAACAAAGAGGAGCCCCTCAATGTGCACATCAAAGAAAAGTACCTCTACCTATCCAAGGGCAAAGGAAAGGCCAGAAAAAACAAACTATTCCTCCCGTCACACATAAGAGTTAAAAAACTCAGTGCATGCGAGTGCATACTACTGGAACTTATCCTCAAGAGGGACATACTGAACGTTTTAAAAAAGTACAAAATTTTTAAAACAGAAAAATATGAATATCTCTATATTAACCTCATAGCAATGCTGAAGCATTATAATTATTTCTCCATAGAGAGGGAGAATGAAATAAGTAAAAGTTCGACCTCCACTAGCGCAACGGTGAGTGGGGAAGTCGCTGGAGGGACATCTCTCTCCACTTTGGGACAGAACAAAACGAACAGCCAATTGAAGAAGCTAACGAACCATCTGCGCACAAATTGTCTGAACACAAAAAGTGATAAAATTAATATTCTGAAAAAGATATGTGACAAAAAATTACTGTACTATATAAATATGCAGTTAAAAAATATTACCCATTTGATAAGCTTCAACGAAATGGAGATCGCTTGTGTGTATTTGAATCATATCAAGAATAATCTGTACGTCATGTTTCAGATGCCCATTCTGCTATACAACACGCTCTTCGACCGAATCATTACCTCCTACAATGACTACATTGTGATGGAGAACTTTTTCAATAACTCCTGCTTGTATAATGACTTTCGATATGAAAATATTTTCAAGACTAAGGTTGCGTATATGCTCATGAAGAAATTTTTCCAGGCGGATGACACGGAGAATTGCATTCGATTTGCCCTGTATTTTGAGAACATTCGAACGAAGGCACCTCGAAATAATATTTACAATGATTATATTTTTCATAAGAATCTGGTGAATGCCTATATTAAGGTGCATGAAGACATCGTGCCGGAGGAGTGGATCCAGGCGCAGACTTCCAACAACAGCGAGCTGAGTGATCTGCATGATTCGGAATACCTCGACTATTACTCCTTCTTCTTCAAGGACATTTCGAAGTATATAAAATTTCACATCATGCAGAAGATTGTCTCCGGCAACATATTCAGCCTGCGCAGGAGGGACTACACGAACGCGGAGGAGGGCCGCGCTGTTGTGGGGAGCGCTATGACTGGCGGTTTGGGTAGTGATGTCGGTAGCGGTGTGACTGACGCCGTGCCTGCCGATGTGACTAACCAACTGGCCGCTGTCCCCGCTGCCCAGGCAAGTGAACTAACCAGCGGAGCGAACGCCCCCACCCGGGAGGCCACCACCGCCTCCCCCAATCCCTGCGAAGACAACTTCGCGTGCTACTTCGTCTACATGGTGAACCGTTCCATCCTGGATGACCTCGTCAACCTGTACGCGTCCAAGGGCGACTATTTCTACAAGAGAATCTCAGCCACGCTCATCAACAGCTCCTTTGTAAAGGAATACGAAAAGACGCACAACAAACATTTCCACATGCACGTACAGGTAGCCAACATAAACCATTTCATGAAAACGAATTTTTTTGAATACATAAACTTTTTCAAAAAAAAAGAACTCTATCACATCGATAAGACAAAGAATGAAGATGAAATTATGCAGAACCTAGTTAACGTTATAAAAGGAAATGGAAAAAAAATCCTTGTCGTGATTAACATGCTCGTTGAAATTATCACCAAAATGGAAAAAAAAATTTTGAAAAATGTCAACATATTTATTACGATAAATTTGAGGAACTTAATTATTGACACGTTTTACCTCTTCAAGTACATTTTCAACAATAAGGAATTTTCGCTTCACTTAGTGGAGGACCTGTACAGAAATGCCGTAACGTTTAATGACCTCATTAATTCCACTTTCTCGGACGACGTGCACTATTACCCCAAGGAACAAATAAAGGAGCTTTACACTTACATCCGCCACAAGTTTACTAACCAGAATTTGATCGCCTGAGTTTGTTCCCGCCCTCACAGCAAAGCAGAGGTGGGAAGTAATAACGTCCAACTTAATGAGGCGGCAAAACCGTGGTGCATACAAATTGGGAGTTTGTTTCCCTCGCTCCTACTCTGTTCATCACTTATCAATTTCGCCTTCCCTTTTTTTATGTTAGCATCTCATCAGATTTTCTTCTGTACGTTTTTTTTTTTTTTTTTTAAATGATCGAATCTTTATTAAAAGGCTGTGCTGTGCGCCTTTCCCCACGGCCTATCCCCCGGAACAAGACATAAAACTGCCTCGATGTGTGGCGTGCCAACGTGCACACACACGCGTCGTACGGTCGTACGGACGAACCAGCAGACGGAGAAACGATCGAACGATTGTACATTTGTAAAAGGTGTTAAATTCTGGCATCGGCAATGCCGTACGAAAAAAAAAAATAAATAAAGGAAACGCATTTTCGCAGCGAGCGCTTCGTTCGAAGGACGCCACACTGTGGAGTGTACCTTTTTCACACTCCTACGGAGGGGCAAAAATATGCCATAGGAGGGGGGGAGGGAAGGTGCGCTCAACACAGGCACATACTCATACAATTACATAACATAGCTTTCTGTCAATCTCCACGCTGGGACATCTCCTTTCGTAACCCAATTGGCATTTAATTAAATATACACTTTGGTAATGGCTTCGAACCGCCAGGTAGTCATCCTGCCTATATCATCATACCAGGTGCAGCAATCACACAGTAAAACTGCACAACGTGGTTGGGAAATGTTCCCATCGTAAAATTGACATTCACCCCTGAAGGGTGTGTGTAGCGGATTGATCCACATAACGACATAATCACATCGTTCCCTATTTTGCCAAAGTGGCTTATCTAAAAAGGTCGATTTCTCATTAGATGAAAATTTGTTGCTCAGATGAGGCGTCCAATTCTGCGGTTGTTATAGGGGCGCATCTTTTGTGGCCTCCCCCCCATAGACGACGTCTTACCCCCCAGGGTTTCATCACAAGAAGCTCTTCTTTGTCATTATGGTGTAAAAATCTTCGAAGGAAATTTCCCCCTCACCCTTGGAATCTGCACGATCAATCATATCCCGCAGCTCCTCATCGGTTAACGTCTCTCCTAACTCCTTTGAAACTCTTTTTAAATTCTTCAGTGATATTGCCCCCGTTTTGTCATCATCGAAGAGGTTGAAAATTCTTTGGATGCCTTCCCGCGTGTCTTTGTTTCCCTATTAGGTGGGTGGAGAAACCAATTCGGTGAGTGCGTCGTGTGAAACGGGAATGGCCACGATAACACATTATACACACATGTGAGGACACACATGTTGGTACACACATGCCAGTACGCACATGCGCGATGTCGATGCAGGCATACCAGTTTGGACGTGATGACCTCCATAAACTCCTCGAAGTCAATGGAGGAGTATCCATCTTTCTCAAGATCGGCTATCATCCTGAATATCATTGGGTTCTTAACGTCTAACCCTAGGCTCTGCATGGCGCACTTTATTTCCTTCGGGTCGATGGTGCCTGCGGGGAAAAGTGAAAGACGACGGGGAAGGGGGGGAGATAAAAAAAAAGCTTAACTGAGTGTGCAAAGCCTGTGGCTCATTTTGTGTAAAATGGGCCCCGGGTTCTGAAACGAAAAGAAAAAGGAAAAAATGAATAGAACTGCTTCAACCGTTCATATGTCATCTTTTTTTTTTCCCTTTTCGCACCTGTCCCATCGGTATCTAACAAATTAAACGCTTCCCTTATTTCCTCAATTTCATCTTCTGTGAAGCCCGGTCGTTCTGTGAAGCTCTTTTCATACCTCCTCCTAACTGATGTATTTTCTGTCATTAGCTTATATGCTTTGGGCGATGTTAAAGTAGAGTATTTTGGATATTTCGGACGTTTTGAAGATTTTCTTTTATTTTTTTCTTTTCCTTCCTTTTGTTTTTCACTTTGGAGATATTCGCCGCCTTTCTTTCGAACACAATCACTCCTGGTGAAGGAAGAAGAGAGCTGTAAGGACGTACACCGGAGTCAAGCGAAGATTGGCATGTTTCGCAATAATAATAATATCTGTACTTATACGTGCACGCGCAAATTCCCTCGAATATTTCTTTTTAACTTTTTTTTCCTTTTTTTTTTTTTTTATTGCTTCACCTTTATGTATAAACACTCGTGGGAAAAAAGTTGAAACCTCCTCCGAATTTTTAATTATTTGTTTTTCCTCCCGTGAGTGGAAGAAGCGTATCTGTAAATTTACACTTCCTGCTTCGCGAAGATGGTTAAATTATTACATGTGTACGTATGGACTTAGGCGTGCGAGTGTGGAAGTCAATGCGGAGTGTGTTGTGATACGGACTATGTCGTGTGTTTTTTCTTTTTTTTTTTCTTCTTTTTTTGTCTGTTCCGTTTTTTCCCATCCTCTTTTTTTGTCTGTTTCGCTTTTTCCCTTGCACTTTCTTTTTTTTCCACCCCCCAATTGTGATTGCAAATCAGGCAAATTTTGGCCTTTTCATTTTCTCTCGTAACTTCCCCTGCGCTTTGCCCCTCCCTCTGTTTAATTTTAATGGATTTCATCCAAGTGATTTTTTTTTTTCTTCTTCCCCCTCCGTTTGATGTGATGGCTGCAATTCGCTTTCATCATTATGTACACATTGGTGCATATGTAAACTTTACTTGCCATGGAGCACTTAATCGCGCAAAATGGCACAAATGGACACATTTATTGTTACCCATGTTCTGTGTGCCAAACGGTTAAGTGTTTTTCCCCTCGCCAGTGCCTGCCTCGACGATTCCATATATCAGCGTAAGTATATCCATAGCAGCGGGGAATTTTTTTTTTTCTTAAACGTAGTGGGAACTTCCTCACAAGGAAGAGCCCAATTTATTTTTTTATCCATTTTGTGTAATCGTCTGATTGCATCGGGTCGTAGCCGCTCCCATCTGTTTACGTTTCTGCACACGGCATGGACGGGTAGGCCATTTTAAGGCAGCAAAAAAGGGACAATCATTTCCATTTTAACACCCTTCCGCTTTATCATGCAACGCGTCTTTTCACCTAATCATGCGAAAGAATTTCCTATTCGCAAAACGTCCTTCATGGCAGTCGCGACGGGTGTCCCTCCTTGTCTATTTAAAAGTTTGACGAAGGGTAAACTCAGTTTTACATTAAGCACGTGTAATAAGGAAACTCCTTTTCATCCGCTGCGTACAATTAGGCCTTTCTGTGTAACTCATCGCGTTGTTTACATTTCTGCCCATTTGTCAGAAGGGGTGAATGTAGACAGCGCATCGTGTACACCTCTGCACATATTTAGCAAAAAGAAGGAATAACTGCTGTCTAATAGGTTATCTTGAGGATGGTACATCTCTGCTTGTTTCCATCTCGGGTGCGTGTGTAATACCTACACGTAGGTTGCCCCCATTGGAGCATATCGTGCTCACTATTATTACATACAGGTGCACACGATTAAACAGATGGCTAATTATCCATACAGCGAAATGGATAGTAAAGCCGGCTCTTATATGAAGTAGATGCTCAGCTCACCTTTGGAAAGAAGAATTCCCAGGATGTGCTCTTACATTGAGCATTTCCCGTAACCACGTTACTGCCGCAGCAGTCGTCCCATATGTACCACTTTAGCTATCCGTTTTTATCAATTCCTACCCTTTTAATGGAACCTTTGCCATGCGAATGTATGTACGGCGCGAAACAATGTCACCTTCGATTGGAAATTTTCATAAAGGAATGACAACTCCTATTGAGTGAAGTTGGAATGGGAAGGTTATTTTACGAAACCTCAGTTAGGGCCATCCTTCTAACCACATTTCGTTATGCTATGGTTTGGTCCAGTATTTGCTTGGTTCATTTTTTTCCCTTGTCCCCTTGGCGCATTTTTCCAAACGAGAGAAAAATGCGCATGGATGTATGGGAAGACTTATGAGGGGGAGGACAAGAGGCAACCTTTTAAAGTTGCACATTTGGTAGCGCCCACCACACCAATATGCGATGGAACTCTTTCCACGGGGTGCTTCATAAAAGGATTCCTTGGTTTCATTCCACCCCGCATTAGCAATCACCTTCATTACTTAGTACTATTTCAAACACAATTGGAGCGAACCATTTTGACACCTCAAACTCAAATGCATAGAAAAGAAAAAAAAGGTGAGTCGAAAAATACACCCCAGGAGGTAGGGACATCACTATGCGCTCGCACACAAATAGACGCAGGTTCATAAGAGGCATTTCTTCAATGCATTTTCACTAAAAAAAAAAAATTATTTTAAATTCAAAAAGTAAACATATGAAAATTCGGTTTGCTCATTTATGCAACAACGCACTGTTGGTGAAAAGCGAAACGGTTAATAATGCACGGACAGGTTGGGAATTTCTTTTTCCCGCCCTTTTGTGGGATTATTCCTCCAAATGGTTAAAAGAAAGATGAGCTTAAATGTCCAGAAATTTTAAGTATATGGCCTACGAATGAAATGTAAAAAAGGGATTGAAGCAACGGTAAAGGATTCGTCCATATGCACACATGAGACAGCATAACAGCAATGTCCAGAAATGCCACCTCGAATTGGCAACTTATAAATGTGTCTAGCCAAAATTATGGAAAAACGTATCAACAAAAAAAATAAAATAAAAATAAAACTCCTTTTTGCCTGAACTTTTTATGTAAAAGTACCTCTTTGATTAAGTAAGTTATCTCCGAAATATCTTTGCATTTATTTATGCTCGATTTTATGTAAGACAGAATCTGTTCGTCACAGGGGGTTATTTCCACTTGCGCATTCTTTGACTGATAATTGCTCACTTTAAATTGCATGACGTTGCCTATTGTCTGCAGAGGGGTAAAGGTAAATGAACTGTCATAAAAGGAGAGAAAGAGAAAAAAAAAGCGCTTCGCAATGAATAAAAAATAAATATACAAATGCATCATACCGTAAACTCGAAAGTGATGTAGTGTTCCGTTTTTTCTACAATTTTGAGGGGTGACAACTGCGTTGTTTTGATGTTCCGTTCGGCTGTCTTTATGCTGCAAAGGGAGGGGGAGAGGTAATAAGACAAACGTAAATGTGGTGCATGTACAAAGCAAGACACACGTGTGTGTAGTTATTTTTTTTTTTTTTTTCCTCTCTTGAACCACTCTCTTTTCTTACTGCTCCTCCAACAGCTTGATCCTTTCCTTGCAGTCGAGCGTATCCGAAAAGTTGATGTCTATTTCTTTGCGCTTCTTTTTGACGTAGTTGTCGTATTTTTGTATTTTTTCGTTCAGCTGGGAGGGGATATAAAGGGGGGAAGTTATAGAGTAAATTGCGCCATAATTTTGCCATACCGGCTGAAAATCTCCCTACACTTCTCAGTACATGCACTGACAAGGGCGTTTCGAGCCTCCATACCTTATTGATATCCTTCTTAAGCTTGCTTAACGTTTCGTCCATTTCGTTATTCTTCGAGGGGACAGGAAATGTGAAGCAAAATGTAGTACTCCTGTCTTGGTTTCCGATTTGTGCATGTTCATACACCCACATGCATACACATGGTGATACGAAAGCACGCCCATGTTGTATGTCTCCTCTCTGACAAAACGGTATCCACACTATGGGGAACACACTATTCATGCGTAGGTACACACACCGGGAGGGGGTACATTTGCGATGCTCACCTTTTGTTTGTTCTTCTCGAACATCTCATCATATTTTTCCACCTTCGCCTCCAGCTCCAGCTTCTTCACTCGTTCCTTTTCGAACTCGATTTTTTGGTTTCTTTCGGTCAGCCTGAAGCGGGGTGGAAGAGGGGTGAAAGGCGGTCCGAATTGTGGCTGTTCTACTGGACGAACTGCCGATGCGAAACAGCAAGGCGCATAAAACCATATTCGCACGTCTGAGGACCCTACTTCAGCTTCAAGTTTTCCACGTGGTCCATAAAAAAAGAGTCCGCGGAGAAGAGGGTATTCACTGCCTCTGCGTGGCGGAGAAAAGGAGCAACGGAAAATTATTCGTCCATAAAAAAGGGAAGAAATGTATCCTCATCAGAAGCATAATCATGGGGACGAAATGAGCAATTTTTTTTTTTTTCTTTGTTCTCGCCGCTCCCTCCATTGTAATGTCCTACCTGAGGTGTTATTAAAGAGCAGGTCGAGCAGATTGGAAATTTCATTTTCCAGCTGTTTCACTTGCGGCTTATCGTTGTACTGTTTGCACTGTCGCACAAATTTCTCGTACGACTCGATTATTAATTCCTGGTCATTTTTACTTAAATTCATATGACCAAAATCGTTTATGTGTTTGATATAATTTAAAAATTCAAGACATAAGCTGTGTAAAGTTTTTATTAAATTGTCATCTACTTCGTCTTCCAAGTCATTTTTATTTTCTTTCAAATTTTGTATGAACAAAAGAATTTCATTAAATTTGTCATAGAAGGTGTAGAACAGATCGTTTTGTGAGTATGCCTCCTGGTTTGGAGTAGTCAAACTGTAGTTTGCTTCCTGATTATTGTACGCCGCTAGGTTGTTCATTTGGCTGTTCTTCGTCACTGAGAGGTGCTCCATTTTGTATTTTAAGTGCTTCACTGGGGTAAATGAGTGTGTGTGTCTGCCCCGCACTTGGCGGTTTCTTAGCTGAACTGCTGGGTGTTCAGGAGGGGGCGCAGCTGGGACGCTCTATCGGTTTTACTTCGCCGCACGGTTTGCCTTTTTTATGCCAATTTATGGCAGTTTATGGCAGTTTTTTTTGAGATAGCCCTCTTAATGGTCTTTTTTATGAGAGCTTTATTTATGATATATTTTTTTTTTTTTTTTATGGTTACGCGGACAAAGTTAACCGGGCAACATAGGGGCCGACACGTATGCACGTGTACACATAGGCGCAGACGTAAGCGCACAAAATTCGGTCTCCCAAGTGTCACCGCTTCAGGAACAACGGCTTCGCAATTCTGGGCCAGTGGCGTATCCATGAGTTCAGCTGGGCGTGTCAAACGTGTGTATGTGTGCGTCTGCGTATGCGCTTATGCTTCTGTTTGGGTACCCGTTTGTGCATCCATCTGTGTGGCTTCCTTTGTGTACTCTTTCTTTTTTCCCTTACGTAACGATCCCGAAATGGCCACCCAAACGCGACTGCGCAAAGGACACAGGCCCGGGTGAACAACCTGAGGAACTCCCTTTACGGCACAATTTTCCGTTGGAGTACTTACCCGATTGTTGACGCGTCGTATTAACATGGCATCCCCCACTGCTGTACATAGGAACGAGGGACGGGGAAGGGATTCACTTGGACTCCTTTGCTCCTACTTCATTCCATTCGTTCAATTCGCATACTCTCGCTCGTAAACTCGTATGCATTTGTCCAGTACACAATCGAAAACCTCGCACAGGCATGCATAATTTTCCCTGCGTATTTTACACCTGAACTTACTATCTAAGAAATTAAAAAAAAATAACAATGTCTCAAGGGGGTAAAAAAAAAATAGTTCTTAAGAATGTAACAACAAATGGGAACGAATGTTTTCCAAGATTAAGAAAAAATTGGCAAACTGCGAAAACGTGGCGCTTTTTTTTTTTTTTTTTTTTTTTTTTTTTCGCGCGAAGTATGCTTAGATGATAGGCGCAGTTTCAAGGTCGTTTTGTTTGCTTCATTTTGTGACTTCGCTATGCCTCTTCTTTTCGCCGCTACAAATGGGCACAGCAAACCTGTCACTGTCACCCTAAGCGCAGTTGTAGCAGTATTCTCACTGGGATTGTACCCGTGTGCACGCCTCCCCCATTCGCAGTATCCCATTTAACGGCACCTACCCCCCTGCACAAAAGAACCCCCTTCTGAATGACCACACATTGTTAACAAAATGGGGAGACTGCTATAGCCATCAACCGCAACGATAACACTATCGCAGATTAATCCCTCCCGCTTTGCAAAAGGAGCTGCAAAAAATTGCTAGCTAGGGAGAACGGATCATCCAAACGGCTGAACAGAACCTACACGCACACATCCCCCCGAAGTAGGCGTAAATACAAAAGAATGAAAAAGCGCCGCCCCCCTTTCTTTGTTATTAAAAGGCTATACACACGCAGTGGCGGATTGAGGAAACCACAAAAAGTGACGAACGATCCTGAAAGCATTAACCGAAAGACGTACTGGTGCTTTGAACACAAACCTATTAAGAGGACGTTAGTCAATTTGATATACTCGCATAATGAATTGAAATTATTTTCCCGCTTTCTGAATCATCCCAATGGTACAACTCCGAGTTGGACACGTGTAGTGCGATCCGATATGCACACAAATTTCGCTTCACGGGGTGTCTCTCCCCCGAGGTGCACACCCCTTTCTGTGTTCTTATTGAGCCATTATTATTTGTCTTGCCTCATTGGGGGTGCCCATCACGTGGATCTACCTTTCCCATTTGTCCGCCCCTCCTTTCAAATGCATCCCCTTCTCAGTGGGTACCTCCCTTATACACGAGCTATCCTTGGAAGGCCCCTACACAGGATTCCTGCCTTCGAACGAGGCTCTGAAATTAATTAGCCCCGAGAGTTTAGCCAAATTATATGAAGAAGGGGACAAGTTGTCGGAATTTGTTCTGGGCCACTTCACGAGGGATTTCTGGCTCTACAGAGACCTGTACGGATCATCCTACCAGCCGGTGAGTTGCATATGTCTATGCAATTGGGCCAGTGGGTTATTGCGCCGTTGGGTTATTTCGCCAGTGAGTTATTTTGTGCCAGTGAGTTATTTTACCACTCTACCACCGTGCATGTACCTATTTACCCCTCCGACCCACCCCTCCTTGCAGTGGCTCGTGTTCAACGAGAAAAGGGACGCCCCCGAGAAAATCACCAACTTAGTTAACCGAGACCTACTTGTAAAGATAACAGGAGAGTTTAAAAATTGCGATCACTCGATTTTCCTTAATGGAGCGAAGATCATCAGACCAAACATGAAGTGCCACAACGGTGTTGTCCACATTGTGGACAGGCCGATAATACAGAGGTAGTTTTGTGCGTGGGAACCCCGCGTCACCATCTTTTTTTTTTTTCCCGCAAAGGGGGGTCCAAAGCCCATTTGGAGGGTTCACTTCGTAGAGGTATCATCAACATTAGAGGGTTCACTTCGTTGAGGGATGGTCTACATTGCAGGGTTCACTTCGTAACGGCATCGTCAACATTGGAGGGATCATTTAAGGAACCATTGGAAGGACGCTCCGTGAGGAATAAAATATGCATCCCACTTCACTCTACGTGTAAGCGCGCAGAAATGGGTGACACTATGCAGGCAGAACTTCCCAGAATTTCACTTCCCTGTCTGCGCAGCTAGTGTAAAACAGAAAAAAACACTGAAGGCATCCTTGTCCTTCGCCACTTCTATATCAACGCTTTCGTGATATGAACACTCTGTTTAAGAAAGAACAGAAAAAAAAAAAAAAAAAAAAGAAACAACATCGGTATCAATCCCCATAGCAACTGCGACGTGGCGCAGACGGCACATAGCTAATACAGAAAAAACATTATCACACGGCTGAGAAAAAAACATAAGTAATTAACAGTGCAGTTTAGGCTGATCATTAATTCGTGCGACACAAAATTGGTTAACGTGTGCATTCCGGGATGGGGAATTTTACATACACATACTTAAAAAAGGGATTCCCATATGGGCATCGCCATCATGTAGGGTTCATGGCGATGAAGAACAAATGGTGGCCCCATGAGGCGGTCGCACGGACCCAAAAATGCGCATCTCCAAGTGGAACCAAGATCTTGATGTTTACGTGGAACAGTTTGATAATGCCCTACGCGAATGCAGTTACGATACCTTGTTCCCAATCGAGTTGAAATAATCGCTGAGCACATTGATGGGCTCCCACTTGCCGACCTTTTTGACGAGCCTGATTTGGAACATGTTGGGCCAGAACTTGCCCGTCACGAGCAGATTGGGTAGTTCCGCCCTGTTGTTCTCAGAGTCGATCGCTATTCCGTTGAGCACGGACTCCTTGTTCTTCTTGCTTGCCTGCTGTGGGGGCGAAAGGGCAAAAAAATGGGCACACAGAATTGGCACAAAAAGTGGGCATAGAATGGGCCAAGAAATATATGCCACGCTGTAACGATGTGTCGGTTGAGGCGGTCACACGAAAGGTACGTGCACACACTTGCCGGGAGCACTCCTCCGACTCGCTTACTCCCACCGCGTTCATCCCACTTACGTAATTGTCACACTGATCGATGAGGCCGGAGACATCGATGATCTTGAGGCACCTGCCATTGGAAATGTCGATCTCAAGGATCAACGTGGTGAGGAAAATATTCGCATAAAGCGTCTGGGCCTGCGCATGGTACTCCAGCTCGTTCATGCTAAAAATCGAGAAGCCCGCACAGGTAATTTGGGTCTTCGCAGAGATGGACAGTTTTTTATTTTTTGTAAACTCGTGAGGAATCTCAACTTCGTACAAATAATTATCCCCACTAGTTGTCCACAGCTTCTGATGAAGAGCAAAATTCTGTTCCTTCAATTGTTCAACGGATTGTAGGGGGTCGATGTTGGACGTCAGCCCATACCCATCCAAGTCATGCTCAAATGTGTGATACAGCTCCATAGTGTCATAATCAAAAACGAGGACGATTTTTTCCCTGTACGTCAGGTTAAGGATAAACTTCCTGTATGTCATTGGCTCCACGACAATTGCCAAACCTTCTGCGAAGAGGTCACTTCTTAAATTGTGGAACTTTGTGGTTTTCCCTGAAGAAAGAGAAACTTGTCTGATGTAGCTAGCCCCGTATAACCCCGAAGATTCGAGCAGTGTGTCATGATCTATAAAAAGTAATCCTTGTGTGAATGGCGAGTGTGCTTCATTAATTGGAATAACATTTGACCCAACATTTATTTGCTTTCCAATAGCAGGGTCGTGAATGTGGCTATACTTAGAAACCACTTCGTATGTGTATACTCCAATTGCGATAGGGAATTTGTCACTTGATCCTGAGTTATTAACTAAATGAAGGATTAACATGACGGATGCTACGATTAGCAACACCACGACTATTGTCACCAGCACCACCGTCTTCCTAAACAGCCTGCACAGAAACATCGTGGACGGTTATGTATGTCAGGGGGGGAAGGGAGAACTCCCTTTGTGAGGGGTACTTCACGTGTTCGCCGCGGGATTCACAGACGTTCATGAGACTGCGCCCCTACGTGTCCGCTTATGTGCGGACCTATGAATGGGCGCATGAATATATTTATACATGCGCATATATCTTCCCGCGCAGCGGAGCTTGCAGTGAGCCGAGATCGCGCCACTGCACTCCAGCCTGGGCGACAGAGCGAGACCCCGTCAAAAAAAAAAAAAAAAAAAAAGCAGTTTATGCAAAACAGAAAGGTGTCTCATAACAGTTATTCTTTTAACATTTCTCCCTCGAAAAAAGAAAAAAAACTCATATGAGTGGCTATATATTCACATCAATATAGACTGTCTTATTCACCTTGCCAACAAAGTGAGGGGCGGAAAAAAACTAATCGAAAAATGCAGCCTTGGAAAGATTTTAAAAGGTACACATATATTATCGACATATGTATGTTCGGATGAAATTGTTTAAACTGTTGCGCACATGTTTTGTAGATTTATTCTGTTCTGTTTTTTTTCTTTTCTTTTTTTTTTTTTTTTTGACCAAATGGGCTCATTTATTCGAGCCGCCTGAACCGCGGCGTGGTCCTCTCGCGGAAAGGTGCATGCGCAGAGGTACAAGCGAGCATATACATGTACATATGTATATGTATTTATATATATATATATATCTATACGTACGTATGTAGGTACGTGTACACCTCAACAACTGCGCACACATTCATGCCAGCACCAGGGGGTGGAGTCCTCACTGCGCATCCCCTCCACTGGCATGCGGGAGCTACGAGGGAGCCGCTACATGTAGACGCGAACAGGCGCCCTCCACAGCGCTGCGAAGATCCCGCGGCAAGGCCGACATTTCATCCTTTTAACCTTATATTTTTTCTGGGGAAGATCTTTCTTTTTCCGCCTATAGGGGGGGGCACTTTTCTCTTTGCGTGTCTTTTACTGGCCATATTCTTCTCTTCATTTTTTTTAATTTTACACTTAACGATTTTGCTGACCGTCGCCGGCGCAGGAGGTCGTTTAGACGGGAGATGCTCCGTTCGCAACTGCTTGGTAGTTTTCTTTGCAGCTCCTTTCACCGCGTCCTTTGCGTCGTTGACGTCCTTTGCTTTTTTTTTTTTTTTTTTCCGCCGAGCCAATGCGCCCTTTCCCGTCAGGCTTACTCACTTATGGCCTCACTGTCCATGCAGGAAAAGACGGCAATCGGACGGCGTACCTTTGGCTGTTTCCATTTGTTCTGTTGTAAATTTCCGGAGAGGTGGGCATCGCTCAGCCCGCAGCTTTCTCAAGCAAATAAACGTAAGTACGAATGTATGCAGGCACATATGTACTCACGCATGTACACGTGTGTGTCTTTCAGCACCTGGTTCGCGTTTTCTGTGTACTCCATTCACGTATGGAATGGTGATAAGGGAAATGAAAGAACCATCAGACTGTGAGCTAAATTAAATGAGCGCTGTTGAGGGAAAATTTTGCTCAGTAAGAAATGACCACATTTGAGAGGCACCATATACTATAATGCAATACCACCGTGATGATGCGATGGGGTAGTGTCCCATTTGGAATATTTCTCCAATTTTTGAACTCTTTTTTTTTTTTTTTTTATCCCCCCAACACACGATACATTAGGCTATCCCAAAAAAAAAAAAAACAAAAAAAGAGCTTTTCTTCTAAGATTACACAGTGGAAAATTAACCCAAGTGACCCAGTTACAGCAAAATTAAAAAAAAAAGAAATGCCAATTTCGCATATGTACATTCAAAATGTAGCCAACGAGGGTGCTCACTTTCGTGAAGGGGCCACCGCGGGGAAAACAATCCACGCAGCACTGAACTTAACCGACTGTCACACTTCTTCCAAAGTTAGTGAATTAAAGAAAAAAAAAAGCGAAATTGTAGCGTCCTTAGCTGATCATCATGTGAATTAAAAAGAAAAAAAAAGAACGGAAAAGGCACATTTCGTTCTGGCCTTTTCTTATGGTGTTATTGTTTCCCTACAAAGCAGCGGAAGCAACAGGGTGAGGAAGGTAGATAAAGCACATAATATTATTTGTACGTAACCTACATTGGTAGATATACATGGGCATTGCTCACCGCTCAGCCAAATTTGCAACTGTCCTTCCCCATTTTTTACCAACAGGTGAATGGCTCTTCGAATCCGAAATTACAGGGGAGGGCAGCGCATTTGCTTTCCCGCGGGGACAGCCATGTTACTCTGGAAATGTATAAATAATGTAGTGTAGTACAGTGTACTATGATATATGCTGTTGTAGCTCCCCTCCCCCATGTGCTAGCGCGTGGATATTTTTAATTTACCCCGTATAGGAGTGTATAGCACGTTTGTTTTGTCGTGGATACGGGGTGGGTGACTACTCTTTCACGTGAGTGTTTTTTATTTCTGGCATATTGGGGGCTGCTTAAAAGTTGGCCTAAACGGGATTGTTTTATTCGTTTTCTCCTTTTTTTTTTTTTTGGCACTCTATTGCGCTTTTCCCGTAAAGCCACTTCTTACAATAATAAAGGGGGGGAAGCCACCGCAACAGGAGAGAAGGTGTCCTCGGGTTAATTGCACAGCGGGGGGGCATTCTCGTTCAAAGGGGACCCTACACCCTGAGGAAGCCACCGAAAAAACCCTATACCTATATATATATGATACATAATTATCATATTGCCTTTCTCCACACGTAAGTTGCTATTTCGACCAAATGGCAACTTCAACGCTATGGCTTTTTTTTTTTTTCTTTCGGTGAATATCCCCAACCCTTCGCACCTCGTTCCGCTACCTTGGCAAATGCACAACACGAAGGAAACGCCCAACAAATTTTGTACAGCACAGTTAGAGGTACCACTTTTGTAGCTTTTACTTTTACCCCTCTATATATACAGTATACAGAGTTTTGGTGAGTTTTCCACCTTCTTGGTCCAGGCGGGTATGTTTTACCCACGCCGAGCATCCACCCACTGCAAGGCGAAAAAATTTCCACGGAGCAACGCAAGTATATAACAACACCAATGGTCAATTTAAGAAAAAAAAAAAAACAGTTAAGTAACAGGCAACTGCGAATATTCCTGCGTATGAATTCATTCCACAAAAAAAGAATTCAAAAAAGGGACGAGAATTTTTTTCATTTCTGCTGAATCGCGTGAGAACAAGCATAAGTTAAAAACGCTTGTACCGGTAACATCTTTTCTCAAGCAATAACGCAAACGTGTACAAATTAGGAAATACCTGGCAGGCAGAGTTTTAAAAAGAGCGCAAAAACGCAAACCGATTATTCTTCACCTGCTTAAGAGGATACGTACCATCCCAGCAACATAGCAAAAATAACGGCTTAACAAAGCGCATTTAACTTTAACACCCCAAATTTAACGATTCCAACTCACATAGCAACAACATGGAAGGTACTTTTGCAATTGCGTTTTTTTGAAAATGTCCCTTTTTTATGCTTCTTCCCCCGCTGCGTTTCATACTGTTTGCTAATAGAACGGGCGCGTTATTGCGCATGTACGTGCCTACATGAATGCCTATTTGTGGATATATGCTTGCTTGTTCGTATATGAGCTTGCCCCTCGTCTACACCTTGGCGCCGCACAGGCGCATGTAACGTCCTCGCTTGGGAACATGACTGAATATATGGACGTGTTGTCGATTGACCTCCTTCTCAACTGAACTTTATTTGAAGAATACGCCGAGAGGGCTACATCAAACGTACTCGTGAACTCTGCCGCTGATTTTTTCCTTTTTTTTTTTCCATCTCATAGGAGATAGAGGAGGATTTTCAAGAGGATTTGGAAGGGGCATGAGGGGTGGTAGAGATGGTCGTGGCAGAGGACGAGGAAGAGGAAGGTAAGCGGGAAGGAAGGAGAGGCCGCAATAAGGCGGCTACGCTGATATGCTGATAAACGATGAAGCATGTAGAAAATAAAACCACTTCGAACCCCCCGAGGCGCCTACATACGCGCGTGCCGCTTGTGTTCCGAACGGTGTTTCACTCTTCACACGCACTTTTTCACCCCACCATTTTATTTCTCCTCCTTTTAGAGGAAGAGGCTCCGCAGAAGATGACTTGAAAAACTGGGTACCTGTAACAAAGCTGGGACGTCTAGTCAAGGAAGGAAAAATAGTTTCCATCGAAGAAATTTATCTGCATTCCTTGCCCATTAAGGAGTATCAAATTATTGATTACTTCTTTCAGCCTGGAGAATGTGCCCACCCCTTGAAGGATGATGTTGTAAAGATTATGCCTGTACAGAAACAGACCCGTGCCGGACAGCGAACAAGATTTAAGGCCTTTGTCGCCATTGGGGACGGAAATGGACACTGTGGGTTAGGGGTAAAGTGCGCAAAAGAAGTGGCAACTGCTATTAGAGGTGCAATAATTGCTGCTAAGCTGTCGTTAATTCCTGTGAGGAGAGGATACTGGGGAAACAAAATCGGAGACCCACACACGGTGCCAATGAAGGTGTCGGGAAAGTGCGGTAGTGTTCGTATTCGATTGGTCCCAGCTCCAAGGGGTACCCAAATCGTGGGTGCGCCAACAACGAAGAAAATGCTTAACTTTGCGGGCATTAAGGATTGCTTCTCATCCTCTTGTGGGAAGACCAAAACAAGGGGCAACTTTTTAAGGGTAAGAAGTGGGAATTTCTAACTAGCCAAACAAGGACGACGCACCAGATTGCTGGGTTAATTGCTCAGATAGTTTTACACGCCCATGCGATTGCTTCGAATGCCTCCTCCCCCCCATATATCTCCCTTCTTTCTTTTTTCTTTCTTTTTTTGCCATTTTTGTAGGCCATTTTCAACGCCTTGAGCAAAACATACGGCTACTTAACTCCAGACTTATGGAAGGTAACCAAATTTGACAAGTCGCCGTATGAGGAATGGTCAGATTTCCTGGAGACCTACCAGAACATGAAGATTCAGAAGCAGACGCCTTAGACGGTTTGAAGATATAAAAACCATGCAGGTAGAAAGAATTGCCAAATCGCTTATTACCCAAAAGGCGCATTTTTGCGGAAAGCTGGCGCTTTTTAAGTGCAAAGAATGAAAAGGCATAACCTTCTGCTATGCTACTCTGCGAATTCTGCTACGCCCCTTTTTTTTCTTTTTTATCCTATCACTCGTTTTTACCCAAACGAATGTTGCTTATTTTAAATTTTCACATTAAAAGGAAAAAAAATTGTACAGGCGAATTTTTTTTTTTTTTTTTATAAACCAAAATGAAATACAGCAAACAATAGCAGTTCAAATTTTATGGTGATATAGTTAGGGCACATTTATTTATGGAGGTACTTTTACGCTGCAAAGTGGGGAACAGGCGCATATGGACGGGGGGACCAAAATGTAGGCAAGCTTTTTTCTCCCCCTTTTTGTTTCCATTACACTGTGGAACGATACGCCCCATGCAGAGTTACACTCCCCTTTTTGCAATATTTGCGGTTGAAATATAGAGGGGCAATTTTTCACACGAATGTGTTTTTCATACGAATGTGTTTTTCACTCGAATGTGTTTTTCACTCGAATGTGTTTTTCACACGAATGTGTTATTCACACGAATGTGTTATTCACACGTAAACGATGTTGCTTCTTAAAAAGTAAAAAAAAAAAAAAACTGCAAACAGTTAACCGACTTGTCCATTTTATCTGCTCGATTGGTGCAGAAGGTTTGAACAAATAGGTGCCAAATAAGCGTCCACTTTGAATGCGAAATTTAGAGAAAAAAGAGCCCGTCACACGTTAGTGACACAATAGGTTATGTCACATTAACGAGGGGCACTTTTAAAGTGACTAATGTAGGGGGGCAGAGGTCCAATTTTTTAAACTGCGCCTCATCCCTGGGGAACCACTCCAACTGAATTGGACTCATCCCTAAGGGGTAAGTTCTTCCTGGATAGTATGATCCAAATGTGTTTTTTTTTTATTTTTTTTTTTAACCATACGCCTCCTCAACATGTGGTTAACTTCCGCGGAACGTCATTCAGCAGCTTGCTTTCGAACCAGCTTTTTCCCGAATTTTCGATATCCTCTTGGTACTTATGTCTGCAAGTGGAGGGTTAAAAGGGAGCGGCGTGTGGTCAAATGCGGGCAAATGAGAACAGCTGCAGACAGCAGCCAACCCCTGCGGAGCACTGCGAACAGGTGATGCTATACACACGTGCAATGTATCGCCTGAGCGCGTTGCCATTCTGTGCGCCACTCTTAAAGGATATATTGCTGGTGCAGTGGCAACACCAACATCGCAGGACACGATGCTCAGAGAAATGAAACTGTGACTGGTATTCCCCTTGGCCTATTATTTTTTCCTTTTCCACCTCAGCTATGTGTGCATTCGGGGGGCTTCCCCCACGCTTAATCGATAACAAGGCAGCTGTCACCCTCCGTTCCATCGCACAAACTGCTCACAGATAAGCAATCGGCACACGCAACACGCACAGCTGACACCCTTACCTAATGTGAGCGGTCACTTTCTTGTCCTTTTCCTTCATTTTCTGATTCATCTGTTTTATCCTTCTCTTTAACAGCTCCTTAAACGAGTCTAACGCGGAAAAAAAAAAAAAAAAAAATGTGCTACGCGTTTACATTCCTCATTGTATATACGCGTAGTCCCCATGGGTAAAAGTCTTTTAACACATAATTTGGCGCAACCATTACGATAAAAGAGCAAAGGGGTTTTGTTGTTTCTCACAGTTGGACATGTCTCTTTGTTTTTTTTTTTTTTTTCCTGTTTTACCTGTTTGGTTTTCCTCCTCATCAGTGGTTTTTTCATTTTCTATGCTTAAGTCGAATGGCTTTATTTGTTCCTTGGTTTTGAAGGGGTTAAAACTCAGTTGGTCTTCCTCCTCTTGGCTAACGACGTTCTGTTCTGTGCTCCTTTTTTTGGTTGTGCCATTTTTGGGGTCCTGCTTTGTGATCGTTTTCTTTTTAGTCGTTTTGAACGCCATTGGGAATTTGATTAAGCTTGTAACAGGGCAGCTAAACAGAGTGGAGTTGTTTTTCCTTTTTCATCCTTTCGCAGGCAGGCTTTTCTTTTTTGCATACGTACGTAGGGGTTAAGTACATAAATGTAGTTGTACATCACTGTGACGGAATGATTTATAACGTGCCTACTGACCTGGCATGGAGGAACTTTTCCTCTTCCTTGTGCCTCTTTAAATTACCGCCATGATAGGGAAGCAACGTTTTTTCAGGCAATTTTTTATTTCCAATTTGCAGAATGACAAAAAAAAAAAAAAAAAAAATATTTGAACATATGAGCATGCTCTGCTAATAATTTATACCGCACAAAAGAAAAAAAAAAAAAAAAGAATTCCCCCCAAACTAGTGCAGGCGCCAAAGTGTTTTCTCATGTCCCTATCGTCTTGTATACATCGATTAGCGAGAGCGTACTGTACATTTGCAGCTCGGCATTGGGTGAATTTACCGATTTAAGTCCCTCCTCACATTTGCGTTCTTCTCCTTGGCATTTTCCACCCTCGCATGACTTTATATGTTAACATTTTTGCGTATTTTCTCGGGAATTATTATTTTCCCTTTGCATCCATTTCTGTGTTACCCCCATTCTCCGTCGGTTTTCCTCGCCGCCGCGAGCTACTTTGAACAAAATTTCCGCACCGATTTAGCCCTCTTTGTGCGGTCGAACGTATGTGCCGCCCCGCCCCCCTTTCTTCTCCCCCAAGAGAATAGCGACCTGGTCCCAACGACGAATTCACCATGCGAGCGAAACCCAAATGCAGGTTTGCCGAAACAGAGTCATAACCCCACGACTGCCACTTGAACAGAAGAACGTAAAATGGGTGAGCCACAGGAACCTTTGAAGTTCTCCGACTTCACCCTGTCCAAACATGGCAACAAGAGAATCAGAATAAACAAACCGGATGGAGATGTGAAATATTTGATTTCCCGTTTTACGGACAATCGGGAAATTAGCAAGTTGTCCGGCCCAATGACGTTTATCGTAAGGGGGAAAGAGCGCGCACGCTGGGGAGGGTGGAGTGGTACCCATATGTGGGGGTGGATTCCCTGCGCGAAAACAACCCGAGAGGGGAGTAGAGGGTAGCCACGCCCCAGGTTAAAGCCTGAGCTTGAATGGCTAACCCACAATAGAGTTTACACGACGAAGTGTATGCTCCAAAGTGTCTACTACGAAGTGTGTACTCCAAAGTGTCTACTCTAAAGTGTCTGCTCCAAAGTGTATACTCCACGGTGTCTACTCGACAGTGCACACTTCACACGTTTCACTCCTTTTCACTCGTTTTTTCCCTCCCCCGCACGCCAGTCCAAAGATCAGCATGGCGAGAGCCCCACGGCGAATGACAAAAACAACAATGCGTTCTATTGGCTTTTAAAAAACTCCTCGAGTGAAAAGGCAAAATCGAATCACAAGTCGTACGTGTCCAAAAAGTGCAACATGGACACAGATGTATTTTTCGTGCTGATTGAAAGTGAAGAATATTCGGACATTTACCCCGTCTCCAGTTGGCACGTCTTCGAACCGGACCTGTCGGAAAAAACGCTGAGCAAGTTCAACGTGGATAATAACCCACAAGAAAAATTGAGAGTAGAAAAAAACAACAGAAGGCTGGATGATATAATTGAGAGGTTAAAAAATAAGGAAGAAAATATCAAGGTAAATTCCAAAGTGAGAGAAGAAGGAAAAAAAAAAAAAAAAAAAAAAAAAATTGTTAATTCAGATTCCTCTTCTTCATCCTATGAAGATGACGATTTAGGATTAAAAAAACAAGAAAAAAAACGCTTAAAAAATCTGTACAAATTAAGAATGAGAGAAAATCAGGATAAAATTGATTATGTCGATTCGGCTCTTTCCATCACTGCCTTGAGAAAAAGTAAAGTCAATTGGGATTACAACGATGAGGGCAAAAAGAGCGATGATGAAGACATAAATATTGAGGATTCTGGGCAGGAAGAATTTGATGATGATGACAATAATGATGAAAATGATGATTCGGACAACAACTCAGATATCGACCTTTCCCGACTCACGACCTACGGACAGACTATGAAGTCGCTCCTGAAGCAGCAAGTGCATGATGAGGAGGATGACGAACTGAAGCAGTACTCCGATGATGATGACGACGAGGACGATGAAGAGGAGGACGAAGACGAGGGAGAAGAAGAGGTGGATGACAAAATTCATGACGGAACTGTAAACATGGCTAAGAAAAACCTAGCCTCCAAAAAAGGAATGTTAAAAAGAGAGGCACAGAAGAAGGCCAAAAAAGGCGTCGCCCTGAACAAACCGAAAAAGGATAACCGCCACGTACAAGACGATGATGACGACGACGATGATGATGATGACGACGAGGATGATGACGAGGATGACGACGACGATGAGGAGGAGGATGAAGACGACTACCGAGGGGACAAAAAAATTATCCCAAATAAGAAGCAACCCACACAGAATGCAAAAACAAACAGCATCAACGAATTCATTAAGGAAAAAATTAGAAACAAGGAACTACAAATAAAGGAAGAAAACTGTGCCAAAATTTTACTAAAGCTGATTGAAAAGAACAATGGCAAAATGGACATCTTGACTCTCCTGGATGTTTTAAACATCAAAGAAAAAAACCAGAGCTTCTTAATCGTCCAAAAGTATATAAAAAATCTGTGCAACATTAGCTCGCAGACGATTAACAATAAGAAGGTAAAGATGGTATCCGTGAAGCCGAGGTTTGCCCCCAAGAAGTAGCTGCCCCCCCCTATGACGTGCGTGGGCAGCCAACCGATTAAGCCCATGGCCCCGCGCGGACTCCCCGTCCTAGTGATGCACCGCCATATGTATATATGTGTCTATATATCTGTGTATATAGGTGTGTATGTATGTATATATGTACAGATGCACCCGCCACACGTTGCCGTTGTTACATCGGCATAATGACGCGTGCCCTCCTCCCAGGTGTCCCCTGTGGAGTTGCGCAAAAATTTGATCATTCAACCAGCGTTTTCTGCGTGATCCTTGATAGTGATAATTTCCTTTGTGAATTTCTTTTTCTTTTTTTTTTTTGTATCGTCCCAAATGAATCCTTTTCTTCTTATTCCCCCCAAAAAATTGGAGAATAAACCTTTTAGCTTCCCCACTCTGTGCAGTGTGCATATGGCAGGGAAAGCAAATGGCCGGGGGGCTTCCCCCACCAGCGTAAAAGGACAAAACGCTGTCCAACTGTTAACCTTCTTCGACCCCGTGTTTCTGTTCCGCATATGCTGAGTTGTATGGTGGGCCCGGAGTTCCTCTGTGGCATATTCTCTTACGTGTGTGCTCCTAAGATGAGAAGTTACTCCGCCTGTTGTCAATATATTAAGCGGGCGAGACGTGCTCGATATGCTAGTCCACTTTGTAGAAGGGGGACCTCCACAATGAACTGTACGACCCCACAACAGGTGCGCAGAACAGCAAAATGGCAAGCATACCGTTTGAACGTTTCTCCCACTTTCGCAGGAAGAATCACCATTTATTTCTCCTTCTTCCCATTGGCGCATTAACGCGAAGGGGTTAGTTCGTCCCCCCTCGTAGCACAGCCGCTTGTTCATATGCGCGCCGTTATTATGACATCGTTATTATGACATCATTACTATGGCATCATTACTATGGCATCATTACTATGACATCGTTTTGTTTTTCACGCGGTGCTTGGAATGTCCCCATGAGGGGGCCATCACACATCGTTCTTTCTGCATGAGCAGTTAAAAAAAAAAAAAAAAAAAAAAAAAAAAGAAAAAAGAAAAAAGAAAAAAAAATTCCCTTACAGGGGATACATTTTTTAACCATTTTGTTATCCTCCCTTATTGGATCCACTTTAAGCCAATTCACCCCAGTAGGTAATCACCTGTGTACGACCGAACTTTCATGTTTTTTCTTCTCCCCTTGGCACCTATGAGATAGCCCTGCTCTGCCACTTGAGGAAGGAAGGCACAGTGCTTTCCCGTCGTCTGATAAGCAGAAAACATGGCAGCAAGAAACCCGGGACCTTACCTCAACCAAGTGCCACTGGGTTTCCCCAGTTACAACAGGAGAGTGTTTAGAGACATTCTCGCGAGGCGCGCCTTTATGGAATCCGAAGTCAACACCCGGGTTTACAAAAATGTGTTTGAGAATCTGGGCTTTAAGGGACAAATAAGAGTCAACAACAAGGTAGGGCGGAAGCAGCTGAGTGGAAGCTGTGTGGAAATTGTGTCAAAGTTGTGTGCAAATCGTGTAGAAGTGGCGCCGCTTTGCAAGTGCCGTTGCACGGGAACGTCGCTCCCCACACACACGAATGTCTTAAACTGGCCGGCAAACCACACACAAGCAGGCCTCAATGAATGGACCACTTTTTTCAGAAAATTCACCCCATTTTGTACTTGCATACCTTTCTTCGTCTAATTTGTCCATCAATTTTCTTTCCCATGAATGCGTTGCACCTTCTTTTTCGTCACCACCTGCCCTCTCCCCCCCGTCAGGTCGGAGTTAACCGGATACGCATGAGGTGCATACAAGGCGGGTACTCTAGAGGAATTTACAAATTCACGAGGATGGCGAAAATGGCTTTTTTTCAAACGGCAAGAGAAGGGTGGTTAAAAAAGTATGGTTATCGACCTGACCTGTTCAGGTAAAAAAGGGAGGAGAAAAAATCACACGTCTTCCTCTCGCACGAAAAGGGGTTATTATTAGGCCAAAGGGCACCTTAAAAAAGGCGTGATGCTTCACAGACGAAAGTTGCTTGCACTTATGCGTTATTTTATTTTTGCTAAGAGAGAGAATCGGCTAGGCAGGCTTTTTCTCCCCGTCCAGTTTTTTCGCCGATGTATTAGCAGACTCCCTTTGGGGGTACGCACGTTGTCGGCGTCCAGTGGGGGGGCAATGTAAA